GTAACAGTTCATAACATGGTCCCATAGCTATATGGCTCCACTGAAAAAAAAAAAATAGCCAAGACCTCCTCCCAGGCTCCACTAATTCCCAGAGACAGCTGCCAAGCTATACAATCATCTTTCTTAGAAGTGGGTCAAAATTACATCCTCTTGTTCACCTACTGTGAAGGCCCAGACCCACCCATCTCCCAGCACACTGCCCACAGGTCTCTCTGCATATTGTGTCTGTAGCAAGTCAACAATAGTATCTTCACCTGCTTTGGGTAATGAGAGGGAGAAATCATGTGCAGAGGAGATCTTCCATGCACAGATCTGCCAAACCCAACTGTTGCTTGTATGGATCCGCCATGCAGTGCTGTATCTTACCTCACAAAACTGAGCTGTATTTTCACCTGCAGAAACTGTGGGTGACATAAGGGTCTGTTTTTTTATACTTAAAAATTTACACCAATTATTTGAACACTTTTATTGTTGCTGTAAAAATATTTAGATTATTGCAGTTAGTTAATGTAGCCATTTGAATATCGTTGACTGGCTGTTTTTTATGGACAGTTTTCCTTTTGGAACAGATACAAACATCACTGCATTAAGAAGCTACAGCAATAAAATTATATTGCTATTGAGTCAGCTGAGACTGATAAACCACTACAATATACAGATAACATCCAAAATGACACATGGAAGATCCTGTCTTTTACTTGCTACAGAGAATATGAATGTAGAACATACAGGCTTTTCTCACTGCTTCAGAGCACAGAGGTGACCTCTGACTCCACCTATTTTCTTGTTTATTTTTATGCAGACTATTTTGAAGTCAAAATCTAATATGTTTGTGCTGCTACAACTTAACCCTATGCATCTGAGCTGTACACATAGGTGATGGCTCTCTACCAGATTTATTAATAAGCTCTGTCTACAAAGATATTAGTCACTTTTAAGAGAATATGCTAAAAACAGACTAGAAATACTGAACATTGAAACATGCTTCTGTGAACTGCTGACAGTTCTTTCTCTTGTGGTTTCTTGTATCAAAACAAAACACAACCCCTCCCTCTCCCTTTTTTGTTAGCACCATTCAGTTTCAGCAGAAAAGCATTTTTAACATGATGGATAAAGTATCACTGATGTGAGAATGTCTTGGATTTCAGCAGTCACTGAAATATACTTATGCAATAGAGAACAGCATGTCGACAGTGACCCAGTAAAAAGGTGTTCTAGATGTGGCACAGAGAAACAGTGCCATTTTCCTTCCTTTAGTAAACCCACAGCAATCCCGCATGAAAACTAGTGTACTGAGGCACAGTAAACCAGAGGAGGGTAGAAATAAAAGAAATAGCTCTTGTAATATAATTTATTCTTTGATATTTAGCTGAACTATTGAAAAAAAAGAGATACCTGCAATACATAACATCACTGATAAAACTAACTTCCAACATAAAGACCAGAAGCTGTGTTGCTAAGGGAAACAAATGAGAGGCTAAAATCAGCACAGAGGTCTGCAACATTTCATAGACTTCCAAGAAATGTAGAAAGCATGATTTCACAGATTTTTCTACCTGTAACACTATTTCCTGCAAAGGCAAATTCTCTCTAGAATAAAAAAGGTTAAGAACCTTCCAGTTCTTCCTATAAAGGTAATGGTTCTTCTGGAAATATTTGCTACTTAATTTTGTAAGACTTTCATACTCTATAACCTCTAAGAAGGTTAATTGGGTGAATAACTGGCTGCAATAATACATTTCTTGTCCTATCTGTTGAAAATTCCTATTCTGCCTTACTTCCTTATGGTTCAAAATGCAGGTGACAAAAAAAGGAGAATTAAAATTAATTGACATTTCTGACATAGAATCATAGAATGATCTGGGTTGGAAGGGACCTTAAAGATCATCTAGTTCCAGCCCCCTGGCCATGGGCAAGGACACCTTCCACTAGACCAGGTTGCTCAAAGCCCCCAAACAAATTCACAGTTCATCTGAAGTCTATTAAATTGTCTATAATGAATGAAGCTTGCCTTGTGGTCTCAAATCTACAAAAAACTAATTTGGGGCATTACTTCAATGGATTCTGACTATTTTGTACACTAATGGTTAAGTAAGCAAAGTGCAAGTAAAAAGATAATAACTGTGTTACCAAAGGATGGAATGTGGTCAACCAGTACAAATAACTACCAGTTATTCTGGCATGTTTCTGCAATATGGTGCTTATAGTAAGATAACACAGTTAGTTGGTTTCATAATGAAGTCTTTGACGTCCTTCCCTATCCTAAGTGATTCAGGATTTCTCATGCTATGAGCAGATGGGGGAAAAGAACCCCAGGAATGTCAGGCTGTATGAGAAGAATACAGTGTGCTTTAGACCATTTATTCTTTTCCCCTACTTGGATAGTTACAATATTTAATCTCTTTTGTAAGATTGACAATGATAAGCACATGTTTTATAGCAGCACTGACCGTAACACAGTCAGCTCACAGGGCTGCTTTAAAGTTAATTGAATTACCCAGAATGTCAAAGCTGAGCACTGGCTGGCCAACAGGCTATTTATCCCAGTGAAGCTTTGCACAGGCTATTTTTTTAGCTTATTGCCAAATTACTTGCTTTTCCCTTCAGGATGATTCCAGTGATCTTTGCAGCCTAGCCAAGCCCCGTTCTGTATCAATGGAAAGACCTAGACATCTCTGAAGGCCTTTCAACAGTGGTTCAGAGATGCTAAAAGAGGAAGACGCTTTGCACATTGAGCCCACAGTTTCCCTAATGCAGTTCCATGTTGCGCTAAACTGTGAGTCATCTAGAGCTGCCAGTAGGAAATGGTAGGCAATGGGCTGTGTCTGAGAAGGTGCCTGACTCACAGCATTACCACAAGGTATCACCATCCATGTAAAACTGAAAATGCCGGATTTTTGTGACAGGGATGCCAATGCAGCAACTGTATGAAGCCACTACGCACGGATAATTAATGAACTGTATGAGCAAGATAATTTGATTTAATGGACCAATACTTCTATTTATAATGGAAAATATGGCCAGAAAATATGTTTCCTGGCATGGCAATCTAAATCTTAAATATTTATTAAAACGATATAGACAAAGACTTTCATGGCAGCAAACTAAGTTTCAGGACACAAACTTTAAATGTAACCTTTGATATGGAAATAAAATCTCAGGAATTAGATAAGAACAGGAAAAAAAAAAAAAAAAAAAAAAAAAAAAAAGCCCCCTATGCATACAAGTCCAGCAGAAACCAAATATTTATTTTTATACAGCATGTCCTCTGTGTGTTCATGCATAAGTGACCTTGCCACTCCCTCAGCAGTTGAAGAGTTCATGACGCCCCTCACCTTGAGCTATACTTTTCCTCAGCTTGGTAATTAGCTTCCAGGAAATGCCTGAAGGCCTGACCTTGAACATACTTCATGCACATAAAAAAACACCACATGAGAAATGCCTCTGCTGTAATCCCACAGCAATATTAATAATACACATGACTGCAAGATTGATCAAGACGCTGAACCCTGTTTTTAAACATTATACTACAAAACAAACCCCCTGCACTTGCAGCCATTTAAAATACCATTAAAGAAATGTAAGCATGAATTTTTCACCTACAGAATTATACAGGGTTTGGGAGGAATGCTTCCTACACTCTCCTGTGATCCATGAAATTCTGGGTTTGTCAATACTAGCACCTAAAGGTATGAATAAACATCCAGTATAGCAGGCAGAAATGTGTTTAGTATATCAGAAAATCCAGCTGTTAGAGTAATACAATATATTGCTTCTGCAACACTCATAACAAACCTGGACTCCGTTCTCCTAAGAGTATATAATGAAGTTCTGAGTCTGTATCCTATTTTCTAGGACCTGATGGTTTAAGGCAATTTATCAAATATATGCTAACCACAGCTTTGGACTGTCAAGCTCTTCAGCCTGCAGTAAGGAGGAAATCCACTTCTGTGAAGACAGAACTTTCTCAAAACTGGCCTTTGCCTGAGGAATGAACTCCTTGGGAACGACAGTCCATCCAGGACTTCATAATCTCACCACTTTCTGTTCTCAGTAAAAGGTGGCTTTTTCCTGCCCATAACTTCTCAGACAAGCATTCAGAACCATAGGAATTCTTAAAAATACTCTCAGGCCAGATTTGAGCATGTTAAATAAAATAATTCCAAATCAAGAGGAGTTCCTCCAGAAGTGACCTTTTGCCACCCTTCTGAGACAGGGCAGTGCATCCATGTGTGCGAGAAGCAAATTACGCTCGCAGCGCACTTGCACTCAGTCAGAGGTAGGTACAAAATGAGGTACTCGAGCAGAAACAGCTTATGGGAGAGTTACTGATGCCCGGCGAACACAGTTTCTTCTCGGTGTTTTTTTTTTTTTGTTTTTTTTTTACGTTCTTTCACTTTAAGTTCCGATGCTGATCTTTCACAAGTATATGGAAATTATTTAAAAATAGAGTGCTGTTCTGAGTTTGCTTTCTCTCTGACACAGGGTAACGTTCCGAACTCTGCTCCCCACCACACTACCTATCATCACCTGTTTATGTGGGCGCAGTGAAACCCGCAGCTTTGCTCAGCGGGACTCGCTGCTCTCGCTTCCCGCACGAACTGACACCGCGATGCCTCCGCCGCATCCCCACACCATCCTCCTCGCCCCGGTACGCACACTCCAGAGGCTCCTCGCACACAAAGTTCCGCCCTGCCTGGAGGAGGGCGATTTCCAACGGGCCTCCTGGGATCGCGGCACCTGACACCGGGGCGGGGACCGGACCGGCTGATCACGCACCAGGGACATTCATCACGGTAGCGGGGCTGATGGAGCTCGTACCGGCTACGGCTCACACTGCTCCCCGGCCCCGGAAGGGGCACGGCACGGCACGGCACAGCGCGGCGCCACCCCCTTCTCCCTCTGCCCGCAGGGACCATTGGCGCAAAGCAGAGGGATGGAAGCAGCGCTCCGCCAGCTGCCTGACCCGCGCTTCCCCGGGAAAGGCGACGGCTGCTTACCGGATCTCGCATCCGTGTGAGCGGCTCCGGCGGCCGGTTCTGGAGACAAAGAGAGTGGTGCCCGCCGCACTGCAGGGTCCTAGGGGAGCGGGCAGGAGAGGCCGGGCGGCCCGGGCCTCCGCCGCCGGGACTCGGTGCCGTGGGCACGCCGCGCAGGACCGGGCAGGTGCCGGCGGCACGGCGGTGAGGAGCCGAGCGGAGCGCCCTGCGCCGCCGCAGCCGGCCCGGGTTACGGTGCGGGGCGAAGGGAGGAGCCTGCGCGGCGCCGGGGCGAGCGGCGTGGCAGCGGTCCGCTCTGCACCGCGGGGTCCCCCGCAGCCACAGCCCAACGGCCGCGGGCGCCGCCGTGTGCCAGGGGCTGCCGCTACATCCCAGCGACTGCCCGGGAGGGCGAGGGGAGCGCCAAGGCCCGTGCACACCCGCGGGTGTCCCTGGCACCTCACCCGCGCTCCTGGGTCGGCCCAGCCATTCCAGCCCATAGGTGTTAGGTACCGGGGCCAGCGTGCCGCACCTGAGCTAACCTGAACGCTAGTGCGGCTAACTGAGGGGGAACACAGCGCTGTTTCTAAGGAAGGTATATGGGTGAGGAGGAAGAGGAGGAAGGTTTAAATGAAGGCGTGTTGGTCCATATGGGGCTGTGGAACCGGGAGAGAGGGATCGCTGGAGGGGAGGGGACTCTCTTCCTTAAGGCAGAGGAAGTAGGGGGTTTGCAGTAGGCTGCCAGCCTGGGTTTCTGAGCAGGCATGAAGAGCAGTGCAGTGTAGTGCAGTTTAGTGTAGTGCAGCGCAGTGCAGTACTATGGGCTGGCCTTAACCTCTGCTAGGAATGTCCAGTCAACACAGCCATCAGTCCATGATAACTTTGGATTACTTTCTTGGTGGCCTTCTACTGAACTTGCTCAGCAGATATTAATCATATTGTCTTTCCTGTGGCCCAGACCTGGACATACAAGTCTAGATGTGGTCTAAGATACTTGTATTTATATCACCCTACACTCCCAGGCATGGCAAGGGCATTTACCATCCTTCCTGTTGGTGTGTGTGTGGCTGTTCTGGCTGCTTGGCATCCCAGCCTTGAAGTATCACTCTTGGTGCTGATGGCTGTGGTATGGGGCAACAGGTCTTGGTCCTGGCTTTAAGAACAGAAGGGACTGATTTGGGCAAGCAGTAAAAATACTGTTTGTTCAAACACCTTGTTACCTTGAGGTTTTCCTGCAACACTTGTAATTCACCAAGTCTGGCTGAAAATATTATAAAATACAGACTTTGGTCTATGCCATGGAGGGCTTTATCTGTGCTCACTGGAACTGTTGAGTTAATCATATCCAGAAGCAGACATGCAAGGGACACTTGCAGTGCTGCAAGGGTGTTTTCTGAGTAGCTAACTGTCTTGTGAGGAAGTGTAAGCAGTGGGTGTTTCTCTTGTCCAGACACTGCCCATTCCAGGACTGCATTCCAGGTGGATGTCAATAAGAAGAAAGCATTTGGTTGCAGGAAATTATGGCAGTTAGAGAGCCTATCTGGAGACTATTTGGAAAATGTTGTCTTCCATCAGAGAATTTGGCAATCCTTTGTGAAATTCAGGTCAGAGGTGATGTTAGGTTGGACACCAGGCTAATTTAGGTGTTCAGTATGGAAGACACTACATCTTGTGCTCTTTTCCAAGAAGTGTTGGTTACTGACCTGAATGCTTCCCTGTAACCTTTTGCAGATTGTTTCTGTATGTCCTTGTTTCATACGGGATAGAGTTTTGGGTTTTTTTCCTAGTAACTGGTGCAGTGCTGTGTTTTGGCTTCTAGCCTGAGAACAGCACTGGTAATACACCGATGTTTCAGTTATTGCTCAGTAATGCTTACCCTGATCAAGAACTTTTCAGTCTCTCATGCTCTGCCAATGAGGAGGGCACAAGAAGCCAGGAGCGAACAGAGACAGGGCACCTGACCCAAACTATTCAAAGGGGTATTCCATACCACAGCATGTGGTGATGTGGTTTGGGTGATACGGTTTAGAGCGAGGTGTCCCTGCCCATGGCAGGGGGGCTGGAATTTGATGATCTTAAGGTCCTTTCCAACCCGAACTATTCTGTGATTCTATGTCAAGCCCAGTATATAAACTGGGGGGAGTTGGCTGCGAGCTGCTTATCACTGTTTGGGGACAGGCTGAGAATTGGTCAGTGGGTGGTGAGCAATGGTATTGTGCACTACTTGTTAATTTTATTGCTGGTTTTGGTTTATTCCTTTTTGTATATATTTCCTTTTATTATTACTATTGTTGTTATATTTTACTTTGTGTCAATTATTAAACTGCTCTTATCTCAACACATGGGGTTTACTGGTTTTTGTGATTCTTCTCCCCATCCCATTGCAGGGTGTGGGACTGGGTGAGTGGCAGCATAGTACTTAGTTGCCAGCTAGGCTTAAACCACAGCACTGTGGATGGTCCTTCTTCTATGGAACAGGAAGGCCCTCTAGAGAAGTTTGAACTTGATATCCTGGAGCATGCCTTGTTGGCTGCTTCCAAGCTCAGTAAGCTTAATCTCAGACTTGTGTCCACATGATCGGGTTTTGAAGAACTGCTAGATCCTTCTTCATTCATCTCCCAGAAAGGACAGTCCCCAGTTTCTGCCTGATGCTTTTTTTCAATTGGGCAGAGCCATGTTCACATAGAATCATAGAATAGTTAGGATTGGAAAGGACCTTAAGATCATCAAGTTCCAATCCCCCTGCCATGGGCAGGGACACCTCACTCTAAACCATGCCACCCAAGGCTCTGTCCAACCTGGTCTTGAACACTGCCAAGGATGGAGCATTCACAACTCCCCTGGGCAAGCCATTCCAGTGCCTCACCACCCTTACAGTAATGAACTTCTTCCTTATATCCAATCTAAACTTCCCCTGTTTAAGTTTTAACCCATTACCCCTTGTCCTGTTACTACAGTCCCTAATGAAGAGTCCATCCCCAGCATCCCTATAGACCCCCTTCAGATACTGGAAGGCTGCTATGAGGTCTCCACACAGCCTTCTCTTCTCCAGGCTGAACAGTCCCAACTTTCTCAGCCTATCTTCATATGGGAGGTGCTCCAGTCCCCTGATCATCCTTGTGGTCCTCCTCTGGACTTGTTCCAACAGTTCCATGTCCTTTTTATGTTGAGGACACCAGAACTGCACACAATACTCCAAGTGAGGTCTCATGAGAGCAGCGTATAGGGGCAGGATCACCTCCTTTGACCTGCTGGTTACACTCTTTTTGATGCAGCCCAGGATACGGTTGGCTTTCTGGGCTACGAGCGCACACTGAAGCCGGCTCATGTTCATTTTTTCATCGACCAACACCCCCAAGTCCTTCTTCACAGGACTGCTCTGAATCTCTTCTCTGCCCAAACTGTAGCTGTGCCTGGGATTGCTTCGACAACGGTTCACAGGGTATCCAACTTGGTTCATGGGTAGCCCTTATTTTGGGGCAGGTAAAAGGTGAGGGTAGGAGGCTGGTTTTGTGATTCTTTTTGTTTCCCCTCCCTTCCATCGTGTGTTTTGTACAGTATCATGCTGTTAGATTCATTGTGTGCATCTTGTCTGAATATTGGGTGGTGCTGCAGAAGTGTGAATGACAGTAGAGGCTTTGCTGCCAGTCAGTTCAAAGAGGTGCTCACTTCCTCTTTACGTAAGATGGAATTCCTGGTTCTGCTCCCCTTCCCTTCAGACCTAAAGCTCACGTTTGTATTGAGTGTAATGTTTGATGTGCCTGTACCAGGCCTGCCCTACTACGTTGTGGAGGTGGGCTAGGTCTGTTCTGACTTCTATGGCATGGTCAGGAAACTGCGGTTTATAAATAATGTGCAGCCACTTCACAATCTCTGTGTCTTGGACTGCAAATCTCTCCAGAAGATGTGAGCTCAGTTTCTGGTGGTACCACAAGTTGCTAGAGAAAGTGTGTCATCTCCTTAGCATGTGTTTTCTATATTGCATTAGGCAAACATGTTTTGCTTATATATTGATATCTATCTCCCAGATTATCATCAAATGGGTTTCACTTGCTGCTAGTCTTGATTGAGGAATCTGGGTTTAAACTCCTGCCCAGAAACACATGTAGTGGCAGAACTACCATGTCTTAGCCTGAAATGATGAGCCCTTTCATGTGATCTTTTGATTCCTGGAATAATCCTGTAGGTGAGCACACTAACATAGTGAACTGAGAAGCCAGAAGAACTTGAATCAACTTCTTCACTGACAGTGCCAGGAACATTTCTTGAGGTGGATCTGCCATTCTTTATGTGCATTTCCTCAGCTGCCAAGTTAAGAGCATGAAGATAGTTGTGCTTTTTGTAGTAAGAGAGCTAACAAACCATTAGTGTGAGGATAAGGGAGCTTCTGCATCTGTCTAACAGTCAAATGATTTCACTCTTACATAGGTTTTCTGATGTTGGATTCTTTGGCATTTGGACCATTAAAGCCAACTACTGCCTGCTTAGACACCAGAGTAATCTCACACATGAAGATCTTTTGGGTCTGGCTTGCTGCTGTTGGTAATGTGATGAGAGGAAAACAGTTAAAACACTCTGTCAAAAGGATAGATGATTTAATTTAAGCAAAGATCAGTAGTACTTCAGCAGAGAAAAAGATATCTTCCATTTTGGAGTTTCCATGGGATAAAACCTCTGTCTCAGGTGAAATATGTGGTATTGATGTACAAGGGACGAAAAAATGAAATCTGAGTTGTAATAAAATCAGTCCTAAAAAGCTAAAATCTTCCAAACGAAGTAATCCATGAAGCATTCCTTCTAATATGTTTGTATTTTCAGTGGTCATCCCCATGTACCTCAACATCTTCAGAGAGACTGCAGTCACCAAGATAAGCAACACCATGGAAAACAATGTTAGAAAGTTGCAAACCAACCAACAGTGGCTTTTAAATGCCTATACCAATCCCTATAACCATATTCTACCACTAAATAGAAATATTTGGGGGTTTTACTGAGTGTTTGAATTCCCTGTGTGTGAAGCTTTAAGGATATTTTTCTAGCAGTTCAATGATTTTTTGATACATTTTCTGAGGTGCATCAAGGCCCCAGATGAAACTAAGATGACCCCAAGAAGGAAAATGCTCATGATAAATGAGATTTTTAATCCGAGGGAGCAGCTTTGCCGTGTCTTTTGGATCTGCAAATTTGTCCCGTCCACCACTCCAGACAGCAATTGGTGTGTTTATTTCCTCTATCTTGTACACAGGAGGAGTAGGCTGTAAGAAAGGGAGGAGACTTGAGTGAATGCTGTTATAACAGGGGTTTGCATTTAGAGGAAGGATTCTGTGCAAGCACCTCTCTTTCCCTTCTGTGCTCACTGCAATAAAACAGTAAGGATGAAGACCACCCTCTTAGTGTCTATTTCCCTAACACCATTCCCTGTCTACCATGAAAGGGAACAATCCATCCTGTTTATAGGTCTTTCCTTAATATACAACTATGAATTGACACCTACTTGTACAAAAGAGGTGGGTATATGGAAAGAGCAGTGTTTTTATCAGGCAGGGGTTGCAGAGTAATTGTTCTTATGTGTCCTGGTTTTGGCTAATGTAGGGTCCTCTGCATGCTTTTATGGGGCAGGGAGTTACAGGACTTTCAGTTGCATTAGACCATACTTCACTTGACACTGTAGGTCACAGTGTTGATCCTGACGGAGTAATATCATTACAGAGGAAATCAAAAAACATGGGCAAGTAGAATGGAGATCTGAAACATGAGGCAAATGACTTAATGCAGGATGGCTATTAGTCTATAGGGTGGTAAGGGACCATGCACAAGATGCTTTTAAATTTACCCCTATTATCTGAGGGTGGTTTTATTATTTTTCTCATTGACTGCTTTTTGGGGCAGTTTCCTAACCATCCAAAGTATTGGGAGTAGAATATTGCCACTTGAAAATTTAAACTTCAGTTTTAAAGACTGTGTGGATGCAAGGTATGTGAGCAATCCCTGGAGTTTTTCTCCACTTGTAAAATAGTGTGCCACCCATAAAATAACTTGCCCTGACTCAGGAAAGCTCACTGTAGGTTAGCTGATTAGAATCTAAATCTAAAAAATCTAAATCAAATCTGAAAAAATCTGTCAGATAAGTTATCAGTGTTGCAGGAGTGAAGTACTTCTGAGTGTTGACTAAGGAATAACCAAAGTGCCTCATGACCAAGTTTTGTCTCTTTCCTTTTTTCTGTACAGGATATGTAAGTTCATCACAGCAGTAGTCTCCATTGTGCTGTACTGAATCATCCCTTCTGTTTTATCTTTGCAGCAAGTAGCTTCCCAAAACCAAGGTATGCATACCACTTTTAGCTGTGAGATTCATTTCTTCCCATAACTGAAAGGCTGACCTTGAGGATTCTGGGGGGAGTGAAGAGCTCCATACTCACCCAGTTCTAGGACTTGGCTGTGGCTCTTAGCCTTTTGGAAATGTTTTTTGACACATGTCTGCATCAGTAGAACAGGCAAACCAAACTTTCTTAGCTGTCTGCAAGGACCTGCCTATGCCTTCTCGGTGAATAGACTTTTATGAGTATTAAATTCAGGTGAAACGTTACCTCAGACACTCTCTTTCTGTATCACCTACAGGTGCTGAAATGTGAATTTTTCTGTTATTTTTTTTTTCATGACCTGAGGATGAGTTCTCAGGGAAACTGTATTGCCTTACCTGGTTGTATTTCTTCATGTTTTCCTTAGAGCCATAGTCAAAAGCTTGCAATTGGTCTGCATATATTACCTATTAATATTGTAACAAGGACAGATAAAATTAAAGTGTTAAGAGGCAGAGCAGAGTGCAAGAGGCATTTTCCTGCCTGTGATTGAAGCCAAGGCTCAGGCAGTGAATAGTATTCAAGGGGTACTGAGGATGAATCCTAGGGTGAGTGGCTTCATCACTTTTCCTCTTGCTAACTTTCTGCCCTGATCCTCAGCCACCACCCTTGGTATGTTTTGTTATTAAAATTTTGCTTGACTATCTTAGCTTGGTACTTGGTGTCTCTGTTTGTGACACAGAAGTGTGCCAGGGATGTTACTAATCTAGTATAACATATGATACCTCTGCACGCACCCTGACACAGACACTGTGGGCTTCTTATAAAAGTTGTGATTATCTTAACACTAACCTGTTGTCTTCTTGAATGTGCTCTGTCTAAAAGGAAAAACAAACCAACCAAAACCCAAAAACAAACCTGAAAGATTAACCTGCTTTAATGAAAATTTGTGCGTATTTTTTTTAACCAAACCTTTAAGTAACTGAGGATATGCTAGAAATCTGTTGGCTTGTCTCTATTTTTCTGGCTCTGGGTGCTGGTGGTCTGGATCCCAGGAATGTTAGTCAGGGGTGTGTGCAGGAGTATGCATGTATTTAAGTGTTGGCAGAAGTAACACAGTTCTCTGCACATACAGCCATGTGTTTCTGGGCCAATGCTCTTTTGCCCTTGTCTGATTTGAAGCATAGACAGAATAAGCTTAGCTCTGAGAGTGGCATAAGATGAGCAGAAGTGGCAGTTCCCCACCTCCTGCTTGTGCGAGCAAAAGGGTTTGTGTGGTTGGCTTTGGAATGTGAGCCTGGCTGCAATAAACTCTCTGGGAATAAAGCTTAACCTGGATCACTTCCTTGTCTGGCTTATCCCCTGGCCTGATACCAAAGGGGTAATTCAGGTAATGGTCTGATGTGCCATGGGAAACAGTGCTGCCTGTGGCAGGTGCTCATGGCAGCATGTGAGAAGATGGGGTGGGCAGTTTCCCAAATCCACCATCTCTGGACTTCTCTTGTGGGCTGTTGGTTGCATAAAAAGCAGTAGCGTGTCAGTATGCAGTTATACCTGATGCCAGTGAAGAGCGTTCTGTACTGATGTCCCAGCAGGGTAATGTCCTACATATACATCTATTCGACTCTGGAGAGAAAGCAGAAGTGTTATAAGTGCAGTGATCCAGTGCTGTGACAGAATAAAGCTGTGAGGAACCTGAGCAACATACTGCTTCTGTGTTAAACCCCATTTTAATAGGACATTCTTTAAATATCAAAAAGAATATTGAGGAGAAACATGTGTGAGATTACAGTAGGAATGAGTATGCAGAATTTTATCCATTTGGGAGCTTCTTTTCCACATTAGTGCTTAGTCATATGGAAAACATGATTTGGGGAGTCTGTCTGGCCTTCGTTTTTTCCAGTTTCTGCAGTTTGTATGATGCCTAGTGCTGTGCTTAATCAGTAAAAGATTGTTAATACATTGTCTGCTTGAGCATAATGAGGCTACATGTGTGGGAGGTTTTTATGGGAACACTTGTTAAATAGTCTTAGTATGAGAGATGGAAGGCCACTGGAGTACAAGCATGTGGAATGTCTGCAAGAAAAAAAGCTATCAGCCAGCATAAAGGAATGAAACCTTGCCATTGGGAGAAATCTGAAGAAACGGGTTCGAAAATGTTTTGATGGTCTGGACGTCTTCCTATTTAAGAAGGAAAATATGAATTGTGCAAAATAAAAGGTATCTTTCTCCATCCAGTTTTCCACCTTAAAAAGCTTTTGTATCTGTGCAATTTTTCTTTGGCTTAGCCCTATAAGGTGGGACACTGAGGAACATCATTGCAAGACAGAACCATCCTGAAATAAGCCTTTCTTCCTTGTGTGATTTGAATGTGCTTGGTGGTATACCTTGTCACTAGCTGAGGTCCTAGTTGGCATTTCCTGAAAACCCTAACACATTTCTCTATGCCTCTGCAACTGTAAGTAGCCATAAGGCAGAAAAATTGCTTTCCTTTAAAATTACATGAGTTATACTTGCATGAAGGTGTTCTTGGACATGCTTACCGTGTTCAGATTTTGAACCTTGTCCCCAGCTAGGAAGCCTAAGATACTGCCACAAAGCTTTCCCAGAGATCCACAGAACCATACTAGAGGCGGTTTCAGCAGCTCATTCTGCTGAAGAACTCCTTTGCAGCCAATGAATAACTGAGGGAAGCAAAAATGCAAACATTCTTTTTCTTCTTCTTGTAGGATTATTTCACATAGAAAAAAAGTCACTCCTTCTCTGCAGCCTTGCCTCCTAACCAAGATTGCTGAAACTGCTTGCCATCCCAGTACCCTTTAAGTGTGTTCTTCCCAAGACCATACCACAGGTTCTTCCTGCTGTTTATTATTAGGCATGAGTTCTTCAGGTCACTATCTGTCTGGTTTTAATGCTCTGACCTCAGTGAGAAGGGGCAGTTGGCTGCATTCATAACTGCAAAGTCTAGGAAATCCATTTTTGCCCTAATATTTCTTCCAGGCAGGTACACAAACTGTGCTGTGAGTATTTCTGCTAAGTAAAAAGGGAGCAGACAAAAGAGAATGATGTAGAGCTAGACAGTCTATATCACACAGTGAGTACAACTTGGGCAGAAAGAGTATGTGCTCTGGCAGTTTGACATAATGTATATAGCATGCAGGATTTCCACCATTCCTACCAAATTCTATTAAATTGGCAAATTACCCCAACTATTCTATGATTCTATGATTCAGGTGTGAAATAGGTATTTCCCTTTAAGGGAATGTTCATAAGCATAAATGAACTGTGTGTCTAATAAAATTAAGGTGTTTCATTTGTAGTTTTCTACTAGTGCTTAAGGCTAGATTTAGTAGATTTAGATTGTGGTGTTTATGAGATTCCTTCAAAACTTTCTGATTCAAACAAAGAAAGGTGAAAATATGTCTCTTAACTGAAAGTAGTTGCAAAAGAGATACCACATCAAGCCTTGCAGCTTAGATCTGTGCAAAGTCTTAAGTCTACCAGCACTGTCAGCTGTCTGATACACTGAATTAATTCTTAATTTTCCACCCCCTTAAAATCAGTTTAGGTTGAGTGAGTTCAGTAGAGACAAAGCAGACAATTATGTATTTTAGCAAGAGGAATGACATACCTTGATCAGAAACTGGGGAAGCCGTGCAAATGTTACTAGAGGGCTGGTACCATATGTGGTTGTGACTACTGGTCCCAAAGCGAAGAACACTTTAACCCTTTGAGCCAATTCAGGATAAGTAGCAAGTGCTATAAAGCCTGCAAAAGCAGAAGACACGAGCCAAGTTAGTGAAGAGATCTCCATAGATCAAATTAAATAAAAAAGCAGTAGGCAGCAAATTGAGACTAGATTAGCAGGCCATTGGCAGTTGCTCATTTCTGTGCTGCAGGCCTGAAGGAAGTGTTTGATTCTTGAAACTTATGTGGGAGACAGAGTTCATTCTAAGGATAGAGCATGTCTAGGAACTGGTTTTCTCAGAACTGAAAATATTGTGTTCAGTCCATTTTGGGGAGGGGGGAGAAGTTACTTTAGTCAGATTTTCTGAATGCAAATTCCATCTGAAGTTCCCCAAACCCTAATAAAATAATGAGGTTTTCAGCTTGCAGTCTCTGAAAGTCTGTATATATTTGTGCTGACACACAGTAGTACAATAATCATCTGAAGATTAAGAGCAGAGTTTTTACTCATAACTAAGAGTAAACCCAGGTAACAGTGAATGCACACATAAAGAAGGAGTACAGAGAAGGAAAAAAGGAATTAAAAAAAAAGGGTGTATCACATCCTGTTTCCTGAACATTTGTCCACTGCTGCATTTGCTGAGAACTTTAACTGGCTGCCTAAAACATAGGAATCTAAAGGCAAAGATGTTTTGGCCTAAATGATTTGTTCTGGAAAAAGACCCTTAGAATACACATATGGGAAGAAAGAAGAAGAATTGCCTAAGAATGTGGCCACTTACATTTTCTCCTGTTTCTGAGTTTATTTTTGCAAAATGCAGTGGCACACCATGGCATAAATCCCAATGTGTGCTCATAGATCTTATATATATATATATATATATACATATCGTAAACACCATTAACTGTTTTGGACCAGGCAGTCCTAACGTTACCTGCAGTTCCAGCCTCTGAGTGACCAACAAAATATACATCCTTCTGTCCGGTTTTATTCATTATGAAGTTCAGCTCTCCTCGAACATCGTATTTACCTATTTCATCAAAGCTACAGGGGAGAAACAAAGAAAGCTATCAGATAATTTAGCTCTTACAGTGTGAGCTACTGAATACCGTTTTTCTTCATTGCACCAAGCAGAACTGATTTCAAGATGATGTTTCATGCTTTGTCTGCACTCTTGCTTGAGTTGGGGAATGGGGTAGAGGGACACAGTGAACTGTGAGGATGTCCGATGCCTTGCACTCTCTGCAAAGGAGGTGTTAGTTTTGTCTCTTAGCTGAGGGTCTTGCAGAAGTGAATGTAATTACTGCTCTCACCAGCATGGGTTACAAAAAAATATTTCTCAGCTGATATCAGTTGTGCTAGATCAGATTTGTACACTGAGCTGAGTCGTCTCCTCTCCTGTCTGCACCCAGGACATGGTATGGGAGACTTCAAAGTTACAGATGTGTCCCAATTTTGGAAGTCTTTTCCCCAAAGGAACCAGCACTGTGTCTGGACAAAGGTGACCTGTGTGCTTGCAGATGTGCTTCTGTATATGGTAATTCCAGAAGGGCCTGCCCAGATCATGCAGCCAAGACCTTGTTATGTCCCCGCTGGCATAACCAGAAGTGGCTGCATCTGTTGCTCTAGTCTCCTTAGATGATGCATATCCCACTTGAAGTCAGATTATATGAAAGCCATAATGGTTTTCATATAATCCAGAAGGGTATATGTTTCATATAACCAGAAAGGGAGAGGTCCCCTGAGAGTTTCCTTCTTCAGTGATTCTTTTTCCATGGAGTACCTGAACTGCCAAAACTCTTTCTGGCAGGGCTTAAGGGTCTTGTGTTTTAAAGACCAGGTGTTTCCTCGGCTGTTTCCCAACCAGACGTCATAGCCAGCATCTGCGAGGATGAAGCCCAAGCTGCTATTAGGCAGGTTAGAAATCCAGTGAATGCAATCTCCTAAAGTACCATGGTGTAGCAAGATTGCAGGCTTTTTCCCTGAAAAAGAAGAGGGTTTTCTTATGCTGTAGTAGGTAATGTCTGTTAAAACTGGGGTGCAGAGTACGGTTTTGCAGGAGTTTTTTAACCTGTATACCGAATTCAGGCCAGATTCCTGACTAGGTGGTCTTGCTGAGACTGAAAGGTGTGGAACATGTCACGGCATGTGCAAAGGAGAAAGATGGGGGACCCATAGAAGGGTTGACCCACAGGCTTTCTCCTATTTTTTTTCTCCTTGCATCCTGTGGCTGTTTCATACCTGTATTTTGGCTGTTCCTCCCAGCAGGAATTCTGAAAACTCTAAGAATGTACCCATCCTCTGTAGTAACTTCATATTCCTCACTGGGGTATCCATGATATCTGATAATTTCACTCTGTGAGAAGCCAAAGGGAGTTTGTGAACATGCAGGCTGTCCTATTTTGGAGGGTAACCAAGTTGAGCAGTGGGGATGTGGGATGTTCTGAGACATCAGTGCAAGGCCCCTGGCCACAGGGACCATGGCTGAGAATGATTATTACAGGTCTTGTAAAAAGATACACCAAAGTCTTCTTCAGTCCTGCTTAAGTGGTAGTTGTCTGGTATTTGACAGCACATTATGGGATGAAACAGGACTGTACTGAGGGACCAACCTTTTGGGAGATAGTTTGTCCTGTTTTGCAAGGCTGATACAGATCATACCTTTCTATAAATTAAATACATAGGAGTGTTGATATAAGACAATGCCAAAAGCTGTGGGTTTTGGTCCATAATCAATCCTTCCTTATCAAAGTGTGGTTAGGCAAGCCAGGTAGGGTGGGTCTCCTATTACAAATTCACTTACAGCACCACCTATTACACTCCTGCCACTAACATGAGGAAATCTGATGATTCAGAGCAATGGGTCTTGGATTACTTTGTGTAATGCCAATCTGCTGTTTGAAGGAGGAATTCATCATCCATTGCCACTATACAAGTTGTTACAGAAAGGGAGGGCTTTGCCTACTTTGAGACTAGAAACCAGCCTTTGCTTCCACAGCAAATGAATTCTTTTCTGTGGCAGCTCGGACTGTTTGGATGGAAGCATCAAGGTGCTAGCACTGGCTTTTAGGCTAGTGGTCCCTCTCACATTGCTGGAGTTATTTTTAACCTCCTCACTGGGACTGTTATTGGTGGGGTAGTGGCAGTGGTACTGGGAGAGACACTTTAGAAAGAAAGGGAGAAAAGTGACCAAACTTACAACATTCATAAAGGATTCAGGGTCACAAGTCTTCCTGAACTGACTTTCGTCTGAGTTCAGAGTGTAGGGTGTTGTGAATCCTGCTGAAAAGGCAATTGCTTGAAAGCAGAGCAGCGTGAGGAGGCACCACATCTTGGGGCTGAATGAAAGAGCACATGCAGGGTTGTTTGCATTAGGAGAGGTATGGAATTCCACAGGCAAAGTCAAGTGGGGAGGCTTCTGAAGGTTGCCCATGGTCTGTTCCCCAAGCACCTGCCAGAATAAGTGAGGAGGGATTGTCTGCAGCTCACCCTGTTCGACAAGGACCAGGATTGTGTCAAAGGCTCCAGGAGGATGTGGAACCAACCTGGGGCAATGTGCTTGTATAATACTGGTGCTAATTTGTGTCATAAGTTCCTTCCTTTCTCTCTCACATATAGTCCTCCCTCTTGTAAATCTGTGTATTGGCCACCTGAAGAAAAGATTGCATTTTCATGTGTTTTTATGGGTGGACTAATGGGCACAGGGTAGCTCTTCTGAATAGAGATCTTAAAATGCATTTTACTTAGTGCTCTGCTTTTTGGCTGCATCCACCTTTGTAATCAGCATAGAGGAAACAGGTCATAAAACCAGAGTGTCCTGTATGACCATATCATGGGGAAGATTTTTAAGACATTGAGAGCCTGAAAAGGATAGCCTAAGGTTTTGTTTTCTTTGAACTTCTTCATGAGGGAGGGAGTCCTCAGTCCTTTACATTTTTTATTAAATCTGTTATATCCCTTGAGTCACTGGAACATTTGGATTAAACCAAAACTGGATATATTCAGGTCCCCCCACTTGGTAGGAGAATACTTCAATTATTGTCATATAGAATAGCATTGTGATCTGGAAGCACAATTTTATACTTGATATTCCACTGTTTTCTGCTGTTTTATTCAAAACAGAAGTAAAACCTGTTCCTCTATTTCTACATGTGGAACAATGTTTGAGAACAAAATCGAAAAGTTCAGCTTAAATCACAGTTTGTTTTTGTACGGCAATAGGGTAGCTAAATTGTTGCCTTTTTAGGGTGTACTTTTTTCTATATACTATATTGTCACCTGACTTAGCTGACATGTTTTGACACACTTTCAGATGAATGCTTTTTACATCAGAGTGCGCCAATTAACTCCAAGGCTTGGCACACAATGTCTCATTAATTTCAGTGGCAAAGTCTTGACTGTAGGAGCCTTGAAGAACAGTCTAGTCTTTTTATGTAATGAAACAACAAGAGTAGCATTTACTATGACAAACTGGAATTAACTGAAACATTTCATTAAAAAAAAAAAAAAAAGACGAAGAGACCCGAAAAGCACACTCAAAACACCGTTTCTGGAGATTGTTGGTGTTTAATGAAAATAGGCTTTTAATCTTCTAAAAATTAATCACTGTACTATTGAGAGAGTTGGTTTTTTTTTTCCACATGCACTGTAAATGGAACAGAAAGGCACCAGTGCAGTTAATGTGGCTAGCAAATGTCAGAATCTCCTGGTTAAATTACAAGGAAAGCTTACATGCGATTGGAACTGCGAGAGCAAAATGTCCTATTTATGCACATGCTTTCAATACTGAGATTATCATGCATCCACAGTGCCATCCTTAGAAAAAAAACCCAACAATTAGAACAAAAATTAAACCATCAGATACTCCTTTTTCCTGTTTGTCCAGAGCAAAGACATCTTCTTCTCAACTTTATCAAACATGCACTTTGATGCATAGCATCAGGCTTGCAAATTAGAAAAGATGCAGGCTGCCTAATCTGACTTGCAACTGCACAAAGACAAGGCTGCACATCTTTATAGAGAAAGGCAGCAGAGAAAAATATATATGAATGCATATGTACAAGCAACTTACCTCCACTTTGCCTTGATTGTGTCTTCTGTTGCAGTTCCTAGTCTGTCTCCACTAGCAGACTGATTGACTGGCAGAAACCTTTGCCAATAAAAGGAGCAGCAGTAGAGTGCTGTGTGATGTCTGGACGTATGGGAGAGCATGTTTAAGTGCTGATTTGGCAGTATTTAAGGAGTGGAGTTATTTTATGATAAACAGCACCTTTGCACGACATTCTAAATGACTAAATTGCATCTTGGACGAGAGGTAAAGAGGCGTCTAACCTGTGGGTAAGACACTTAGCAAGGAGCTGGGGTATTCTTGTCCCCTGAGGCTGTGACAGATATTGTTCTGTACTGGTGTTGGGGACTGCTGTGGCCACATTATTTTGAGATGAAGGGAGTTAAAATCAAGCTTTTCGCAACACTTCCTACCCATGAACATGGTCTCTGCAGCTCTGGTTTGCACAGAAGCTGGTGTGGTCACTGATTCCACACCTGCCACTTGTTTTCTGAACTGCTGTTTGCTTATTGCTCAGGGACAATTCTTCTTTGTTAGGTAATCTTAGAATAAAAATACAAGTGATCTGAAAGGTGTGTGTTTAACCTCAAACATACATTCCTAAATCTGTTGTTCCGTGAACACGACAACTTGCAAAGACCAGTTCGCTCTGAATTAGCCTGCTTATGTAAGGACTCTCAGGTATTGAATTAGATTTGGAAGTGTGCAGACTTTGAGTCAGGGAGGATGGTAACAAGATTTCTTGCTTCTTCTAAGCCATTTCCATGAACTCTCTGAAAACACAGCGTGTTTGAAGACCTCTGCCTAACCACTGAACTAATTGTAGTCAGCCCGGGGGCTCCGTACTCACTGGAACTGGCCTGGTGCCCTGGTACAGCAAATTCTCTGGAATGTGGGCGCTAAGCATCTGCTGTTTTGTATGAGTAAACAGAATGAAGTAAGTCTGTGTTAGTAAACAAAGCCAGAGAGTCACCACATAAACAATTCTGCTTTATAGAGTGCAGTCCGTGGAAAAGCCAAAAAAGTGATTTCTCAATGAAAAACAGTACGTCTTGCACATTTCATACCCCTGCCTAGTGAGAGATACAAAAGATTTTTCTCTGCTTTATTCCCAGCTAATGACATACTACTTTTTTTTTTTTTTTTTTTTTTTTTGTCTTGTAGAATTGTCAGCCTGGAAGGATCTGCAACATTATACCTAGTTTCACCAGAAATGTGTGGTATCATTTGTGATACTGTTAGTACGAATCTAGCAAAGAATGAAAGATAGGTTAACCTACCTGAACAGGGAAAAGAGACTATGAAAGTACTGCCTGTAAAAAGAGCATAGGAAACAGAAAACCTAAAATGATCAGGCAAGTGTTTTTCCCAGGGCAAGGCTCATCCTTTGCACTCCGGGTGCGCTGACCCCTGCGATTTCCCGAAAAGCAGGAAACTCAACTGCATAATCTGCAGTAGTGGGGGAATGCGTTTGCACTCTCTGCCTTTTATATCTTCTTTCTCTAGCAGTAGGATGCCTCTTGTTAATAGCTGAGACATGGGTTGGTACACGTGGGCAGCTGGGCAGATCAGATAGATAGTCTCTCAATTGTTTGAACACCTGGGACAGTTTTTCCACGGCTGAAATGATGGAAGGGGTGAGATTGTCTTCAGACTCTCAGAGTTAACAAATAGTTTCATCCACTGTTGGTGGCACTACGTCATTCCAGGTTATTGCTGCCAATGAGTGGGCATATGATGCTGGTGCACTCTGTAAATTTCTGCCACATGGGTCATGTAAATTCAACTTTGTCTGGATCTACGGATGCATTCCCAGCATCTGGCTTGCTATAGATCATGTCTACAATGGCTGATTCCCTCAGAGACTAGATGCCTTTCTCTATCATGGTCCAGTTGGCTGAATGACTCATAACATCATACTTGTACGGAAACCTTTCTTTAACAGCTGTCAAGAGCTGCCTGCAAAAGCTGAGGGACTGTTTTGCTTTTGCAATTGCTTTGTCAAGTCCCCCTTCCCTAGCAAGTGATCCCAACTGCTTGGCTTCTCTACCTTCTAGTTTGTGACCATTGGCCCCATTGTCCCAGCATCGGAGCAACCAGGCTCCGTGCCACTCATGACTGTCCAGCATCGGAAAAATCTCTTGGTCGTCCTATGCCATTGGATAACCCTATACAAGACCCAAATCTGACTCTGCCTTACTTTCAAGATCAGATGACATGGTCGCGAGTAAAACACACTTTGTATGCGTGCCGACATGGTGATCCCCATCAATCAGCAGGCAGGTCTCAAGGGTGCCCAAAGGCCCCATTCAAAACCTTCAGAACTCTCGAATGATGCTGTAAATAGTCTGGTGGGGGAGCTGGGAACATAAAGGAGTGTCTCCTTCATAGGTTGACCACCCGAGGAGGGAAAAAAAGATGTGTAATTTCTAAACACTTCTATTATATACCTCCCAAAGTATAGAGGTAGAGACCACACTGAGAATGCAAGCCAGATCAGTTTCATGATCAATGAGTCTATTCTATTACAAGTCGTTACCATAAAGTACAGCAAAACAAGAACCTTAGACCAAGCCCCCCCAGCCAGTAAAGATTAAAACAGCAAATACCAGCTGTAAGTAAGGTATGACATGCTGAAACTCCAAGATAAAAAGCAACAAATTTGAGAGCCAATAAATCAGCATTGTGATGCGTGACTGTTAATCCGAAGCAATGAATGCTTATCAAATACAATTAGACACACTCTGGTTAGATCTGTCATTACCTCAACCCTCCAGGACCCACGATGAGGGCCACAAAGAACTGTCGTGTTTAAGCCCAGCCTGTAACTCAAAACCGTGCAGCTGCTTGCTCACTCCCCCACCTTCTTCCTCCCCCCACTCCCGAAGGGATAGGAAGGAGAATCAACAGAATATAACTCCCATGGGTTGAGATAAGAACACTCCAGTAACTCAGGTATAACACAAATCACTACTGCTGCCACCAATAATAACAATGCTAAGGGAAATAACAAGGGAAGAGAATACAACTGCTCACTACCTGCTGACCGATACCCAGCCCGACCAAGCAGTGATCTAGCCCTTCTGGGTAACTGCCCCCAGTTTATATACTGGGCATGACGTGCTGTGGTAAGGAATACCTCTTTGGCTAGTTTGGGTCGGGTGTCTTGTCTCTGCTTCCTCCCAAGTTCCCCTCATCCCTGGCAGAGCATGAGAGTCAGAAAGTCCTTGGTCAGAGTAAACATTACTGAGCAGTAACTAAAACATCGGTGTTATCAGTGCTGTTCCCAGGCTGAGAGTCAAAAACACAGCAGTGCATCACCTACTAAGAAGGAGAAAAATGACTGCTACTGCTGAACCCAGGACAGGTATACAGAAACTTCTCCGGATGTGCTCCTTACTTAGAGAGCCATGCTAGCTAAGATGATAATATTTTGTTTTGAAAATGCTGAGGCAAAAGTTTCACATAGTATGAAGTATCCAACTATGTCTTAACCCCCAGTGTCTGCCAACTCCTTCTTAAATACCCTCTAGGTAGCCCGTGAATCTGAACACATCCCTGATGATCTGCAGGCTTGGAGGGGGAGGACAAAGGGGAATACATGTTCCTGTCTCTTTTGCAAACACTGTAAAATATAAAAGTAACATTCATCTAAGAAAATAGTCTGTATATGCTTTTCCTTTTGTCTTTTAACCCCATTCTTCTTCTCAAGTACTTTTACAGTTCTCATCAATTTTCTCCCTGCCTTTCATAGAATGAATCATTGAATCATAGAATAGTTTGGGTTAAAAGGGACCTTAAATGATCTAGTACATGGTGACCATGCCTATGGCAGGGGGTTTGGCACTAGATGATCCAAAGGTCCTTTCCAACTGTTCTATGATTCTATGAGTAAAGAATCCCTGCCACAAGCAGGGACACCTTCTACTAAACCAGGTTGTTTAAAGTCACATCTAACCTGGCCTTGAACACTTCCAGGAATGGGACAGCCACAACTCTCAGCAACCTCTTCCAGTGCCTCATTACCTTCATAGTGAAGAGTTTCTTGTCAATGTCTGATCTAAATCTACCCTCTTTCAGTTTAAACTATTCCCCCTCATCCTATCACGACTTGCCCTTGTATAAAGTCCCTCACCAGCTTTCCTGTAGGACCCCTTCAGGTATTGGAAGACTGTTATGAGGTCTACCGTGAGCCTTCCCCAGGCAAACCAAGTCCAGCTCTCTCAGCCTGTCTCCATAGGAGAGGTGCTTCAACCCTCAGCATCTCTGTGGCCTCCTCTGGAGTCACTCCAACAGCTCCAAGTCCCTCTTGTGTTGGGGTCCCCAGACTTGAATGCAGTACTTCAGGTGGGGTCTCATGAGAGCAGAGTGGTAGACTCACCTCCCTTGACCTACTGGCCTTGCTCCTGTTGATGCAGCCCAGGATATGGCTCACTTTCTGGGCTGTGAGCATACACTGCCAGCTCATGTTGAGCTTCTCATCAGTCAACACCTCCAAGCTGTCCTCAGGGCTGCTCTCAATTCAGTCTCCACCCAGCCTGTAGTTGTGCTTGTGATTGCCCCGACCCAGGTGCATTTTCCACATGATTACCTGTTGTTGAGCAGGCATGTACAGGAAAGAAGCTAGCTGTTTATCAAATGCTTCAGTCTGCTGAGGTATCGCCCAGTCACTATGCCACTTGGCCAGTTTTAAATTAACAATCAGCATATGAGATACTATTGATCATGCAAATGCATACGTGTGCCAGCAGGTTTGTACAACCCCATTCGCTTTTACAGGACTGCTGTGCTCTACATTGTGTCCATGAACTGACTATGAGGATTGGGATCTTATGCAGTCTAGGATCAGCCTGCTGGCTGAACTGCTGGAGCTGAGCCACAGGATGGGCTGTAACAGAAGTAATCCAGTAGTCACTAGGTGAGCACCTTATTCTTTTTTTGGTGAAGGCCCTTCTGACAAACTCTTAATTCACTTCTGGCTCACATGAAACTTTTGAAGTATAGTACAATCCTTTCAGGAAGTATGAAGCAGATTTCCTGCACAGACTGAATAGATGACAGTTTGCTCAGGCATTGAGTCTTGGCACCTTCTTGAGAAAAAAAGACTTATTCAGCAAAGAAAGATAAAATTTTCAGGATTCAAATCCTCATAAGCATAGTAATGAAAAAGCAATATGTGAAGCAGAATTAGACCTGACTACATAAATTTGCATAAGTCTAATACCTCATCATAATTGGGCTGCTTATCTGCTCTCCAGCTGAAGCTCTGATCAAAGCAATCACTTAACTGATTCTCAAGAGTGCCTAAGATGTGATGTTGGATAAAATGGTAATTTACACTAACTTGGGAAAGGTGTTGCCTGAAGCTATCGCTGTGCTTTACAGAGGAGGGTGTGTTTTGGTTGTGTGGTTTGGTTTTCTTTTTAATGTTTGTTGGTGTATTTTTTTTTGAGTACTTTCCATGTTACCATATATTTATAGATTGGTGTTCGTTTAAGGAAGATTAAGTAAACTACTAAGATGTTTTATGTAACAGCTGAGCAATTTGATGTTTCTTTCAACAAGTTATAGTTTATAAATTCCTGTTTATGACAGCCTGGCTAGTTAATGTAGGAGGATGTCCATTTAGTAGGAACTGGGTGTGAAGAAACACTGTCAAAGAATACTTTTTCACCTTTGAGTTGTTAATCACTCCTCCATGTCTTTAGGCCAACAGAAATATCCACCACATGCTGAAAGATCAGTCTATTGAGATCCTCCCAATAGATTGTTACAGATGGGTGTAGTGTATGTTTTTGTTACAAACCAATCTAATTTTCTTCAGGTAAACAACCACTAAAAGGGTTAGAACTGGTGCTAGCAAAGTAACACTACCATCAGTAGTGCTGCACTACTTCAATCAGAGAAGGATAGAGAGACTGTAAGTGATTTTATATGATACTTCACCTCACTGAAGAATAAACATGAGAATGATATGGAAATAAAAGCTCTCAAACATAAGATAGAGGGTTTGGATTTAAGACTGACAGTTACATGCATTGTTTTAAAACATGTTTTAAAATATACTTGAAACACGAGTTTTAACTATAAAGGAAGAAGATACTTTGGGCTGTCAGCAGACACTTGAAATGTGCATGCCCTACTTGGAAAGACTGTACTACAGAAATACTATCAGCATCTTATCCTCAGAGCCATGAACACACAAAGGGGGTGGAGACATCCACAATAATTCTCTTCCCAAGATCTAATCCAATTTACATACAAAATTAGCAGGTTAAATATGAATCATATTAATTTTTTTTTTTTTTTTTTGGGCTGGTCTAGGAAGAGAAACCTAAGCAAAACATGATGAAAGCAGCTCCTGATTTAATGAGACTGAAGCTAGTTATACCGGGAGCTCTTATGAAGGGTGTGGGATCTAGTTGCTTCCCTTTTCCCAGTAGGCGTCTTGAGCTGTTCTTGCAGAGGGGTTGGAATACATTTCGTTCAGAAGTAGCTTGGGTGACAAACCAGCTACCATTCATAGTTACTTGTTTTAAGTATTTGGTTCATGGTTGTATTTTTTTTTTATTTTTTTTTTTTTACCTTTTTTTCCCTCCCTTTCTTCGCTTGTGAAACTTTCTTCCTCTCTCCCTCCTACCCTCCTCAGCCTGTTTTGCTACTTTCCTTTTTAGGCAACTGGAGGGTGTTATTGCAAAAATGACAAAGGAAAATGCTTGTGTGTTGTAACTTGTTCCGTCAGTCTCCTGTAAGCTGCTGTTCTCAGGTTTACCTCCTTGGGTTGGGTTTCTGAAGACAATTGTTTCATGCTATCAAGTGGAAAACATTTGAAGGAAATGTATCTAAAGAAAGAGTGATACTTTTAGGTTAAATATTAACCAGATTCAAACAAGCTCAAGAATATTTCAAGTGAGGTTAACTTGTTGGGCTGGTGAACAAGAACGAACTCAAGCAGTGAAGAATAGGCATGGGGATACTCTATTCAGAGGTAGGTGACCATTTTTTGCACAGTAACTGTAGCTATGGAAGATACAGATATTCACTGGGTTTGATTTGTTCTCTTTGCAACCTCCCATACAAGGCTTAAACAGGTCTGGATGTTCTTTCCCTTTGGAGATGCTGTACTTCAGCTATTACAAATTGTCAAAAGTACAGTTTGTAGGAGTAAATAAAATGCAATAATCAGTATAATTATTGTGATTTCATGGAGAAAGTACGTGTTTAACACTTTTTGTTGTTCTGTGTTGAGATCAGAATGATTCTGAGCATGGTACAAACAGCTACTTCACAAACTGCAAACAACTTGCTTGTGTTGAATATAGGTAATAAAAAGCTACTGCTCAAGGAAACATTCCCTCCCACCTGATTTCATTTTTAGCTCTTATCTTTATGGGTTTGTCCCCAGACCATGGTCCATTTAGCTTACCCCTGGATTTTAGCATAAATGCTACTTAAATCTATTCATTATTTCATAAAGTTTCCATTTGCACACTTGGGAGCAAGTGAGAATTTTGGTTCTTTTCAACTGCCCATACAGTGGATTGCACTGTTGTTTCTTTTCCCAGAGATAACATTACATAGTTGTTCCTTTAAAAGGTTATATTTCTGTGCTGAAAGCCATCCCTTTATTTTTAAAAGGCTACTCGATGAAATCAAGTGTCTTATCCTTTTTCTGTATTACAGGGAGCCTGAATCTGTGCATTCAAAAGGTGATGGGCTGGGTAGACTGCAACTTGTTCTGAAAGGATCTGTTGCCTCTCTGCATGTCTACTAGTCTGAGTTAGTATTTTACAAGAAAACAGTGTCAATTAGCTTAATTAAAGTGGTGTTTGTAGAATGTTCAAATGCTGTCCATATCTTCCATGATTATTAGTTAATGTTTCATATTTTAAAATTTTGAATGAGAGTTTTCTGGATAAAGTATGATCCATTTATACAGTATAGAAATCTAGAGCAATGCATACAAGAAGGTGTACGATGCCTTTTCTGAGAAGCAGGCATTGGATAATAGTGCACTCAGTATCACAAACATGATTTAGACTTTCATGTTCAGTTCAAGGCCTTTGGATGCATTTCAGTGTACAGAAAGAGACTATGGATTAGTTCAGAATATCTGGATGTTCTGAAGTAACTCCTTTTTGTCTAAACTACTGCAAAGTGTTGATGCAATTTGGGCAATCCCCTGAAGTTCTCAAAGAAGGAAGCAATTATAATCTGAAATTGTGCTCCCAGTTGCAAGACTGGCTTTACCTTACCCTCCTCTCTGTTGGCTGAATGCTTTGTCCTTAGTGCCAAGCCTTATTTCACGTGTGGTAGAACTTGCTGAATAGCTTGTGGTTTATCCCTACCTCAGCAAAGCTAAGCAGGAGTTGCAAGAAGCTCTGGAAACAAGTAGACAAATGCAGATGTGTTCACGTGGACCTGTGTAAACTACAAGGTCCTGTTTGCCATCCCATTGCCCTCAACTGATAAAAAATAGAAATAATGAAGAATTCAGTTGTGTAGAGGTATTGTCCGTCCTGACACCAAAAGTTCTTTTTGCTTTTCTTGCACCCCTTATCTGGTGATCTCGTACTGAGTGAACTCAGCCATAAAAACCCTTGCCTGTTCTATGACTACTTCTCACCTTTCCTGAAGCCTCCATATCTATTATTCCACTTAAGTGTCTTCTGTAACAGTTTTCTTTTCTTTCTGTGGGAAAGACTGCCTAATCCAACATTTGCCACTGGTTGCAGCTTCTGATGCCTTTCTTACACAGGTGACAGATTGCCACCTAAAACTTTTTTCCTGAAGTCCTATTACTATTGATATTAAAATAATGAGCTTATATTTATTTTGACTGGCTTTTGTCCTTACTTGAATATCCTGCTACTATGTTAGCTCCTTCAGTCATGGAGTTGTATTTTGTCAATTTGGGAGGTATATTACAGGTCAGATTTATAGGACTTTTCCTATTTCTTTGACTAAAAGAGGCATTTTCTAGAATGAAAACCAGCGGAGTGGGTCTCAGGAAAATCCTATAAACCCAGGAAAAAGTTATGGAGTTTTTGTGTTGTTTTTTTTATTTGTTGTTTTGTTGTGGGTTTTTTTGTATGAATGAGACACAGTGTGTGAAAGAATCAATCCTACATAGACCCCCAAATGCAGTGAAATAATAATAATTAAAAAAATGCTTCCAGTACATCAATTATTCATGACTAGCTGTTGGAATGGATGAGAACCATTTCCTTACTTCCTTTGTACCCTGGACGTTTTCTGGTTTCAGTGGCAAAAAAAGCATGAATGACTCGTGTGCTGGTTTCTGTGCGTGACGTCAGCCTCAAATAACATGGTCTTTTAGGGAATGGTAAGTGCTCCATCATTATTAATGGCTCTAGAACAGGGTTCAACAGTAGTGTAAGCTTAAAAAGATCACATGAGTCAATGAGAGTATAGGTCAGAAATGTTTTGGGTTTAAGGGCCTAGCAAGTTAAACTCTTTGAGGCAGAATAGAAAGAAAATCACAAAAGCACACCATTTGGTGACACGAGCTGCTGAACTAGCATGAATCAGAGTAGAAAAGGAGAAAATCTGTGTGGAAAATGGCTGATTTGGGCAGATGCGCAACCTGAGTAATCTTTAAATAAGCAAAGCAATACTTAAAGGTAGGAAAACCAGAGGTGCAGAATGCACCTGATCTTGTCTTTCCTGGAGAAGTTGCACTATTAGACATTAACATGACAGAGAGTGAGGTTCTAGAGCATACTGATCATTTAGATGGCACCGGTGTGCAGGTCACAAGAAGAGGAGTTTAAAAAAGGAGTTTCTCTTCAAAATCATTAAACTGGTTCTGGTTCTGGAGGAGTGTGAAATAGCAAATGGTATATGTAGGCTTTTATAAGAATACAGACAGATGTGCAATATTGCATGCATTCTTTGTAGATTTTTGTCTGATAAAATAAAACAGAACAAGAAGTGGTGTGAGGTCTGGTAAATTTGTAAATAATCTCTTTAGAAAGGAGAATCACTTCTCTTATGTAGCTGTCCAGAAGATTAAGCAGCAATGATGCTGGAGGTAAAGTTGTGTGGTAGATCAAAGTTTGTCTGAAGTGAAAGTGTAAATAGGATTAATCTTTTTAATGTGTGTGTGTGTGTATGTGAAACCTAAGTGCAGGAAGAGTGAGGAAAGAGCTCAGAGTTCAGGGTTAGATCTTGTTCATGTAGAGTATTTAGGATGTAATAAAAGGAGGATGGAAAGGAAAATCTGCAGATAATATTCAAAGAAAATGCGTATCTTGGAAATTGGTGAATAAAAACCTCAATATCGAAGACAAAAAGAAGAAACTCATTCTCTCTTCCACTGGATAACTTCAAATGCTACCAGTCTGCTGTATTTCCCACTGTTACAGGCCGTTAGAAACTCATAGTACTCCTGTACTCAGATTCAGTTCTTGCTGCTGGAGAGGGAAGGAATTGCAGGATAGGTGAAGGGTGCATAGAAATAGTGAGAGAAACTAAGCAGCAAATAGTTCTCAAAAGCCACACTGAGCTGTGGGCATACGTGTGTATTTTAGGTCTGAGATTTAACTTCAAGCCCTGAAAAGAAACATTGTGGGGGGTTGATTTTTCAGCTCTTTGTTGAAAGCGTAGTTTTGTTCTGGGAACTGTGAGTGAAAAGTGATACCTCATTCAGCAGTGTTCATCCAAAAAGAAAGCCTGTTGTAAACTTTGAGAGGCATGGGCTTGTTTGTGCTTGCTTCTTAATACAGTGAATAACTCTGTAAGATTGGAAGACGGCGGTTTTTTATGGTTGCAGATGAACCTGATTTATTTCTTGGATTATATATCTTCATATATATATGGAATATGTATATTATTAGGGTCCAAAATGAACAGAAAGTTCATTCCGTTGTGTAAAGGCTGTGACTTCCCAGGCTGCGAGCTGCTGTGCAGCAGCTGCAGCAGTATCTCTTACCGCCATCTTCTGGAAGTCGCCTAGAACTACAACCTCTATCAAAATGCTTGGCAGTGCTTGCGTGTTTTAGGATTTGCGAGTGAGAACGGGAGGTAGGTATGTTTTAGTGAAACGTGTGCTGATTAATATTATCTTCTTTCTTCAGCCCATTTGTCAGGCAGCTTATAATAACGATTTCAGTGAAGTTCAGTCCCTTCTGGAGCGTGACAGCAACTGTCTGAATACCCAGGACTGCTTCAGTGGAGACACCCCATTAATTTGTGCATGTAAACAGGGAAACAACAGGATAGTTAGCTATCTTCTAAAAAGAAATGCGGATGTCAACCTCAGAAACAAGGTAAGTGGCCGCCCTTCTGTAGCCTTTCTTTGCTTCTCTCTTTTTCTCCACCCTGGTTAAAAGGAAGGACAGCCTGTCCATCTCTCACAAATGTGTGCCTGTGGAGAAACTGACTCCACAAAAACCTGCCTTATTGCTACTGCAGACCTGCTTTTGTCATGCAACAGAACAATAGCATGACTCGTAATAGCATGCTGGGGGGCAAGGAGGGAAGCCTTCCACTGTTCCTCCCGTGTTCCCTATTCTACACACACTTGTCACGCACAGGAGCTGTGACTAGCTATTTTCCTTAAGGTGAAGAGGAAGTATGGTTTTGTGGTAGGTTACAAATGAAAAGTAGCTGAAAGGTGTGTGCTCTGGTTTCATTAGTAACTTACGATATTAGAGGTGATAAATAACCAGGGAAAAGAACCCCAAACTCCGTCAATTCTATCATATTATCTCATGCTCCAAAGCAATGCTTAGCAAGTTCCTATACATTTGTGAATGATCTTCTGTCTCTGGTTTCCAGTGCATTTGTTTATTTCACAGGAAAGCAGGAAATTATCATGAGGTCAGTGGCATATTCTACCCCATCTCTTCTTGATGTAAAAGGCTCTCTATCTTACCTGAAAGTCCCTTTGAAAGGGCTCAGTATTTTGCAGTAAGGTCATTTTAATTGCATTGGCAGCCATTTCCTAGCTGTGCTTGCCTTTCTTAAATGTGTCTGCTTCACCTTCACAGGTGGAATCACTCTCTTTGATGCAGAGCTCTGCTCTGGTTCTCAGGAATGAGAATGGGAGCAGAGGATAGCACAGAAAAGCTTTTCTGCTTATTTTGGCCACAGTGTAACACTAACCTGGTTTGTCTAACTCCAGCGTAACAACCTACAGGAGATTTAACACAAGTGGTCTTTAACACCCAGATTTACAGCTCTGACCTTTATTTGCTTTGATACACTTGGTATTCACAGGAGATTTTTTTAACTCTGTTCTCACTAGAGAATACAGGCAGGTATTGCTACTTGCCTGTGTTTCTCATGTGTGCCAAACGAGATGTCATAAACTCTCATATGTCTTTGTTTCTGTAACAAGCACCTCTATAGGAAGAGTCACTGTGGGGATTCTTCCTACTGGTTTAACTTGCTGGGTGGCACTAGCCGTCACATGTCTGCTCTGCCCTCTTTCTCCCTGCAGCCATGTCCAAGTTTGCAGACATACATATGGAATCCTTTGGATCCCACATCCTTCTTGCATGTGTAGCCCAATTTACATGAGCCTATATATGTTAAATGTGCTTCTGCTTAAGGAATTAAAATACATGTGTCTGTTTCTGCTTGAAAATCAGAAAATATTTCCAGTAGATAACCTGAAAGAAAGTCTATGAAATACAAAATGGTCTGCTATTGCCAATATTAAATAAATATAATCAGATCACTGAATCTGGTACTAATCGGAGTTATTCTGTGTTTAGAAGGACCGCACTTGTCTGCATTATGCTGTGAGAAAAAGGTTTACCTTCCTTGACTATGTGCTCATCATTATCCTCATGCCAGTGATGCTTATTGGATACCTGCTTATGGTGAGTCTGGGTGAAAGCGGGAAAAACCCTGTACTTTTTCCTTTCCTCTTATCACCTTTCTCATGGCAATATTTGAGGCCAGGAACCTGCACAGGATATGGACTGTTTTTTAAAGCAAAGACTGATGAAAGCAACAGAAGAAGTAGGGAATTTGTCATGACTATAACTGGTGAAGCAACAGAACTCTATCACTGCATCAGTCTGGCATTTGCAGAAGCAAATTTCTTTTAGGAAATAATACAGCATTTAACCATAATCTCCTTTGTACTATATGCAGATAGACTGTCTTACAGTGTTACTTCTTCCCTTGTGCCAAGCAGGTCTCAAAGACTAAACAGAATGAAAACCTGATCAAGATGTTGCTTAGAGCTGGAGTTGATGTTAATGCTACAGACTTTGTAAGTGGGTTTATACAAATGCAGATGTGTTTCTTATGCATGCAACAATACTAATAGACTTATAAATCTTCCAGCAACAGAGTCCTGCTTTCAGAATAAGATCTAGGACTGAACAGACTGTCATGCACTAGGAGGATTCAGTGTTCCTCCTCAACACTTAGGCAATGGTTTTGAGAAGTGCACAGAAATAATTCTCCACTGACCAACTAATTCTCCATTTCTGACCAATACCCTCTTAAAAGAATCCAGGCAAGCTATGCTGAGACACTTACATATTAAATACCTGATCCTATAAAGATTCTAGTGATATAAGGGTCTGAGTTGATCATTATTTATGAGTTCTTAGACTGGAACAGATTTGAGGGCAAAGACCATGTCACAGTGCTAAATCCTGTGTCTTCTCTTGGTCTTCAGAGTGCATTGATCTGCCATTTGTGGAGTTCAGTATCCACTGTCCTACTTAGGTGTGGAAGACAGCCCCCCTACTCTAAGGTAGAAAAGGATAACACCCAATTCTAGCAGCAGCCAAGTTCTAAAACTGAACTGTGAACAAACAGTATTGCTTAAGACATAGTTGTTGAGATCAAGATCATGGAATCCTCTGAAGTTAGTGAAGAACTGTTGGCCTCCTGCTGAAGATAACAGACCTGTTCTAGCAGCTGCATCCCAGGGAAGAAATGATTTTTTTGTTCCTGCTGGTCTTATGCAAATGGATTTTTTTGTTGCCTAGTGTCATGCCAGGAAATGGTATGTCTTTTGTATCCAGGTGTTAGGGGGAAGCTGCTAAAGCTTTGTAGTAGTACTTAGGTAGTCGTACTTACCTATGATTTACTAACGAAGTAATAGAACTAAAGTTCATCTGTTCCTGTTTCTCTTCAGTCAGGCAGCACAGCACTTCACTATGCTTGTAAAATGAACAACCAAGCAGTTATTCCTCTACTGCTTCAAGCTCATGCAGACACTTCTTTAAAGAATCAGGTAAGAAGGTGAAGTTGATAACTGTATTTCCTTATCGTGATGGTGAACTAGTACATTGTAGGCCTTAGCTGATGTACAGCAGTTTAAAAAAGAATGCATAGCTTCCTGTCAGTGGACTTGTTTGCTGTGGGGTTTAAAGCAAAGTTTGCTCCACTGCCTTTGTTGGCAAGAGCAATTGTAAAGTCCAAATCCTTCACTGCTGGCTTTCCAGCAGTAAACATTGCCTGGATGTCTACTGGATCTTCTTCTTAACTCAGAACTGCTCTGCCACTGTTCTTAAGATGCAGGCTGCAGGGGAGTGGCAAGAGCCTTCTGGGGTGCTTTTTGTGCCACTGGGCACTGTTCTGAGAGGGGCAAAGTCAAGCTGCTTCTGTCATTAGAAAAGCTCAAATGTTATCCAGATAAATACTGGCCTGGAAGTTTCTGCATTATTGAGTTGAAGTGAGCAACGTACTGTCCATGTTTCTTTTGAAATCAGCCATTAGCTTAGCTCTGCACTGACTCTGGACATTAGCCCCAGGAAACAGTGGAATGGCTGTCGCTGTTGGAGGGGAGGACAGGATTCTGCCCCTGGCTTCAGTGAAAGCAGCATTAGAGCCAACATGTTCTGAAACCTTTGTTTTAGACCAAGGGTGTGACAATGAAACTTGTGCAGCAGAGCACTGCATCTGGGTGGCAAATTCAGGAAAGCTCTTTTGTACTTGACCCGTGTCTATTGTATTGCAATATGTGTCATTTGTTTCTTTCAGGATGGTGAGACTCCCTTAGATATAGCAAGAAGACTTCAGTTCCACAGCATTGAAAGTATGCTATGGAAAAATTCCTAGTCATTGAGGACTCCCGAACATGCAGAAAATTACCTCATCTGGGGATCCATCTTGCACAGCAGCAGGAGTCCTGCAGAGGGTTGAGGGCTCTTTCTTGATAAAGACTTGGTCCAAATCCACCCTTTCATTGCTGCAGACTTTTGACTATTTTGTGTGAGAGTTGTCAATGACCTCAAGGCCACATGCACTGGAAAGTGTTAATTTGATCTTACTAAGCCTTGAATGATTATAGGAGTGTTCAAAATATTGCCCTTCCCATCTGCTTCCCCAGTTTTATGACTTTGCTTGTGAGGACAGTGGATTTTGAAAGCTAACTTTAACATGTCTGGAAGCCTAATGAGGATGGTTGGCAGGCAATAGAAAAATAAAATGTCCTTTAGAGTGTATGTCTCTTATTCTGCAGGGTATACACTTGACAACTGAACAATGTGCCACAGCAGTTTATACAAAGGCTGGTACCTTCCCCTTAATATTTCTCTTCGTACAATGGGAGTGATTTATATTTTTTTTTTCTTTTCATATAAGAATCAGCAAAAAGAGATTCTGTTCAGCCTGGAGAAGAGAAGGCTGCATGGAGACCTCATAGCAGCCTTCCAGTGTCTGAAGGGGGCCTACAAGGGTGCTGGGGAGGGACTCTTCGTTAGCGAGTGTAATGACAGGACAAGGCGTAATGGGTTTAAGCTTAAACAGAGGAAGTTTAGATTGGATATAAGGAAGAATTTCTTTACTGTGAGTGTGATGAGGCACTGGAATGGGTTGCCCAAGGAAGTTGTGAATGCTCCATCCCTGGCAGTGTTCAAGGTCAGGCTGGACAGAGCCTTGGGCAACATAGTCTAGTGTAAGGTGTCCCTGCCCATGGGGGGGGTGGGGTGGTGGTGTTGGAACTAGATGATCTTAAGGTCCTTTCCAACCCTAACTATTCTATGATTCTATAACTCAATGAGTTGCTGGAGAACAAAAAGAAAGCCAATTCACAGGTTTGTTTAGTGCATTAAAAAATAATGAAAAATGTTTGGTGTACTTTCCATTATAAACAGTGTACTAAAGAAAAAAACTCAAGACATGAATTGCTGTTGATGTATCCTCCCCACGGGATGGGACTGGACAGGACAGCATGCTTCTCAGAGTGGTGCACACAGCATGTACCATAATAATAAATTCATGAGTCTTCTCTTGCCTAGGTGAAGGCAGAAGGAAACCTACAGTGGTAAGCATGTATTAATGTGGCCTGGCACTTTGTGATTTAATAATATAGCAATAAAGGGGAATCTCCTTTCAGATTCTATTGTATCTTGCTTTCCTTGTCTAATAGATCTTTATTTTTCTTGAAAGTTTTGGTAATTTCCTGTGAATTGTCATAAGTTCACAATATAGGTGCCATCATCAGTACTGCTAATGGCTGCTAGACTAGGTACATGGACCAGCTAATGTATTTGTCCTGTGCTGCAGAACAGATATGTTGTTCAGTGTAAGTATTCCATTGGATGCTGACTCCAAGTATGAAGTGTCTTGGTTGGGAAATGGGGGTTTGAGGTCCCACCCAGAAACACCCCACCCAGAAAACAGCTACCCTTTCAAAGTCTGTAAGCAATGAACACTTTGGGTGTAACCTGGGGACAGAAATTCCTACCTCCAGATCAAGCTGTAGGTGAGCAGATGTGAGGCACTAGCATGGGTAATGAAGATGCTATCTCTTTGGGCTAATGGCTGGAAAGGGGAAACAGCTGACTGCTTTTGCATGCTGTAGAAATTGCTTGAACAAAGACAAGAGTCGAGACAAAGAGTTATTTGGAAGTTAAAGCTGATAGCTGAGAGTGCTTGTAAAAACTTGTAGTGACAGGACAAGGGGTAACATGTTCTTTACTGTTAGGGTGGTGAGGCACTGGAATGGGTTGCCCAGGGAGGTTGTGAATGCTCCATCCCTGGCAGTGTTTAAGGCCAGGTTGGACGAAGCCTTGGGTGGCATGCTTTAGTGTGAGGTGTCCCTGCCCATGGCGGGGGGGTTGGAACTAGATGATCTTAAGGTCCTTTCCAGCCCTAACTATTCTGTGATTCTAAGATTCTAACTTCATTGGTGGTGTCAAGAGTAACTCATAGGGTAGAAGCTGTATTGTTAGGAGTGAAGCTTGCCTGGCAGATCTATATCTCCTTATTCCTCAGCTGCCTCCACGGTGTTTGAAGCTGGGCAGTTTAGAGTGCATGAACAAATGTTTGGTTGACATCTAGGCATGGAGGGCAGGAAAACATTTCTACAAGTTTTTCTGACACTGGATTTCTTGTTGTTTGGAAGTCATCTATTGCCTGCTCAATTACCTGTCTCTCAAGATCTCTTGACTGTCGATACCTTAAGTAAATGTAAAGAGGAAAAAAGAAGTAAAAAAAAAACAAAACAACCAGGTTTTCTGCCAAGTAGATAAATGATTTAATTTAAACAAAGGTCAGTTGTACTTCAACAAACAAATGAACAAATCCCACATTTTGGTCTTCATGGGAAAATACAATTTGGGCATGGAAATGGCTCTGTGGGGTATGTAAGATACACATGGGACCAACAGAGTTTAGCTTTAGGAAAATCAGTCTTGCAGTCTTGTAGAAATAAAAATTGTCAAACTTCAGTGATCCCTGCAGCGTGTACTCAAGTATATTCATGTTTTCAGTTTTCATTCCTATACACCTCAAACTTCTCAGGAAGACAGCAGTCACAGTAACACCAAAAAACCCCTCAAACTATGAGGAATGCAAGAAACAAGTGTAGGTAAATACTGCTGTCCACTATGTGTGTCTCTGTGTTTACCTCTTCCCCAGGTATTACCATTATTGCAAAACAGAAATTCTGGAGATTTCTGCTGAGTGAATCATGTGCATGTGGTTTCAATATTTTGTCATTAGTTCAATGATTTTCCGATACATTTTCTCAGTTGCTTCAAGGCCCCAGATGAAATCAAGATGACCCCAAGAAGGAAAATGCTCATGATAAAGGAGATTTTTAATCCGAGGGAGTAGCTTTGCTATGTCTTTCGGATCTGCAAATTTGTCCTGTCCAGCAGTCCAGACAGCAATTGGTGTGCTTATTTCCTCTATCTTGTACACAGGAGGAGAAGACTGTAAGAAAGGGAGGAGACTTGAGTAAATGCTGTTATAACAGGGGTTTGCATTTAGAGGAAGGATTCTGTGCAAGCACCTCTCTTTCCCTTATGTGCTCACTGCAATAAAACAGTAAGGATGAAGACCACCCTCTTAGTGTCTATTTCCCTAATTCTGTTCCCTGTTTACTGTGAAAAGTAATGATCCATTCTATTCCTGTGTCTTTCCATAAGACGTGGCATAGTTGTCTTGCTTGCTTTTGCCTTCAGAACAGATGTGAAAAGAGCAGTCTTTGTTTACCAGTCAAAGAACTGTGGAGCTTATTAATGTGTATATTTAGAGCGGGAAGATCTTTAAGTTTTGCTGGGGCACAGAGTGCAACTGTTGGTCTTATTCGTTATGCTTTGGATTTAAGTGTCAAGGAAAAACTCTGGTCATTTGTAATTTCACTCTAGAAATTTTCTGAGCTCCCCCAAACCAAGGTACGCATTTCACTTTTAGCTGTAAGAATCATTTCTTTCCTTAGCTGAAAGGCAGATCTTGAGGATTTTGGGGCAGTGAAGAGCTCCATACTCATCCAGTCTTAGGATTGGCTGTTAACCTTTTGGGAATGGCAGGTAAATTGACATGTCAATGGACACATGTCTGCATCAGTAGAACAGGCAAACCAAACTTTCTTAGCTGTCTGCAGGGACCCGCCTATGCCTTCTCTGTGAACAGACTTTTATGAGTATTAAATTCAGGTGAAATATTACCTCAGACACTCTCTCCCTCTGTCTGTATCACCTACAGGTGCTGAAATGTCATTTTTCTGTTATTTTTTTTTCAGGACCTGAGGATAGTTCTCAGGGAAACTGTACTGCCTTACCTGGTTGTACTTCTTCATGTTTTCCTTAGAGCCATAGTCAAAAGCTTGCAATTGGCCTGCAAATCTTATCTGTCAAAAGAACAGATAGAAGTGTTAGGGTGACCATGAGCCGACACTGTGCCCTTGTGGCCAAGAAGGCCAATGGCATCCTGGGGTGTATTAGAAGGGGGGTGGTTAGTAGGTCGAGAGAGGTCCTCCTTCCCCTCTACTCTGCCCTGGTGAGACCTCATCTGGAATATTGTGTCCAGTTCTGGGCCCTCAGTTTAAAAAGGACAGGGACCTGCTGGAGAGAGTCCAGCGCAGGGCAACTAAGATGATTAAGGGAGTGGAGCATCTCCCTTATGAGGAAAGACTGAGGGAGCTGGGTCTCTACAGTTTGGAGAAGAGGAGATTGAGGGGTGACCTTATTAGTGTATATAAATATATAAAGGGGAGTGTCACGAGGATGGAGCCAGGCTCTTCTCAGTGGCAAACAATGAAAGGACAAGGGGTAATGGATACAAATTGGAGCACAAGAGGTTCCACTTAAACCTGAGAAGAAACTTCTTCTCAGTGAGGGTGACGGAACACTGGAACAGGCTGCCCAGGGAGGTTGTGGAATCTCCTTCTTTGGAGACATTCAAGACCCGCCTGGACACGTTCCTGTGTAACCTTATCTAGGTGTTCCTGCTCCGGCAGGGGGATTGGACTAGATGATCTTTTGAGGTCCCTTCCAATCTCTAACCTACTGTGAAGTGTTGAGGGATCAAGAAGCAGCATGCAGGAGGTATTTTCCTGCCTGTAATTGAGGTCAAGGCTTAGGCAGTGAACTCTGAGTTACTCCCACCCCTTCCTCTGGCTGCAGGCTTCCACGGGCATTGAGGGTGGATAGTAGGGTGAGTAGCGCCATCCTTTCCTCTTGCTAACTTTTTCTCCTGATCCCCAGTCACATCCCTTGGTATGTTTTGTTATTAAATTTTCACTTGAGTACCTTAGTTAACTAAAGGTGGAGTCCCTGTTTGTGATGCGCAGTTGGGTTCAGCTGTCACACAGGAAGAGGACTTGAATGTCTAGAACATTTCAGGTTTATTACTAGTTTATTACTAGTCTAGCATAATATAAGATCTCTCTTTATGCATCACATGTTTTGTTTGTCAGGTTTGTCTGGCCTGTTCACAGAAGTGGTGATACTTGCAAAGGCTCTGTAGTTACATGAGTTTGGCTATACGTGAGTTGTGCCCTGATAGCAGTTTTGAGGTGGAACATTAGAGACAGGCATTAGCCTTCCTGATCTGGTTGTCTAGAAGAGATTCTATATGCCCTGCAGGACTGATGTTAAGAGTTAAGTAATCATCTTTTGAGGATTTTTTGTTTGGTTTGGTTTTTTGTGGGTTTTGTTGTTGGTTTTTCATTTGTTTGTTTCTGTGTGTGTTTGGGTTGTGTTTTTTTTTCCTTTTTTTTTTTGTCACTTTATTTTGCACAAAAGCAGTTTTATTTGTGAGTGGTTGCATGTAATAAAAGGTTGTCTGTCAGTTTAGAAAACCCTGACTTCAAGGTTTCAAGTAGCTGGGAAATGTGATAGAAATCTGCTTGCTGTATTGCCTTTGTTATTTTCTTTTTATCTTGATCCTTACTGTCTGATATGTCCTGGGGAAATCTCAGTGCCTGATACCAAAGGGGCAATTCAGATAATGCTTTGGTGTTCCATGGGAAACAGTGCTCCTTCTGGCAGGTGCCCATGGAAGCATGTGAGAGGATGTGATGGGCAGTTTCCCAAATCCACCCTCTCTGGACTTCCCTGTGGGCTGTTGGTTGAATTAAAAGCAGTAGTAAGTGTAGGGCAGTATGCAGTTATACCTGATGCCAGTGGATAAAGTCCTGTGCTGATGTTCCAGCAGGAGAATGTCCTACGTATGTATCTATTCGACTCTGGAGAGAAAGCAGAAGTGTTATAAACGCAGTGATCCAAAGTGTTATAATCGTTGTGATAGAATAAAGATGTGAAGGACCTGAGCAACATACTGCTTCTGTGTTAAACCCCCATTTTAATAGGATGTGCCTCAAATATCATACAGAAAACTGAGAAGCAGACTTAGGAATAGCTGTTTAATTGTATGCACCTGCACACTTTCTCCCTGAAAGCAAATCTGCTCCCTGAAGACAGTACTGCGGGATCCTGTGGTTCAGCAGCAGCGGGGAAAAACCTTCCAGTCCTTGCCAAGTAGATTCCTCACTTCACATCAAATTCCTATGAGTTTATAAGTCTTTCAAAGCTTTGGTTTTCTCTTCACTTTACTCCTTGTGCTAAAGAAGCCAGCTTAGAAAACCAATTGCTTTTTCTTCTGGCTTTTGTTGTTTTTTAGTTCTGCATTTTTATAGTTCTGTTAAGGAGATGTTCTAACTCCATCCCCCAGATTCCTCCTCAGACTTGTTATCTTGCACTGAGAACCACATTAGTGATTTAACCCAAGTCAGGAAAGATCCTTAATGGTTTAGCTCTGCAATTCAAAGGAGCTGCAATGCCTCTAGTTGTTTTTGCATTGAACCTTTGATTCTCACTGCTTTCCTGCATATGATTTTACAAGTGGTTGTAGATGGAGAAAAATGGTCCTCAGTCTTTACAGGTGTTGCAGTAACAGACATTACACAGGCCAGCTTCTGCATACTTTGGCCACTGTAAGGGGAATTTAAGACACACTGCAGCATCCATATGTTGGTAAACATAGGGACAACTTTGCTGTCTCTTCTGTCCACTCTGCCTGACTTGCTAATTGCTGTGAATCCCACTGTAGATGTGTTGCACTCCACAGACACAGGGGAAGGGCTTTCTGTAGCTCTACAGATTTTTGCAGATTAATTTGTTGAGCACAGTTCTAAGGACAAAAAAAAAAAAAAAAAAAAGAAAAAAATAAAGGAAAATAAGGAAAATGCACCTTACTATAGCTCTTTAGGTCCAAAATCTGGTACAAGCAGTCTGAAGAATGGGAAGGGAAAAGGAGCTTTTTCTTGCTTTTTAATTATTCCAGTGTTCAGAGGACCCTGGTGTCTGTGTGCTAAAGAAGCAAACTGGGAACTGTATTACCAAGAAGTCTGACTCCATCATCCATTTGCTCTTTTTAAAGAGCATTTGTGTATGACCAAAACATGGTTGACTTAGCCTCAAAAGAGTGCACATCTATTGACATGTGCAGGATAGCTCGAGATTGTTTTCTGTCCATTCTGTGAGTAGGATTTGCCTAATTGTTGCTCCCATTCATCCTTAGCTCTAGTCCCTGTTTGGCACAATGTCCTGGCATTCCCTCCATCTGCTGAGAACTATGTTGTGGTTTATATATGTTTACATTCCTGACAGTTACTAGATAAGGATAGAGTGCACAGATGTAATTTCTGTAACTTTTGATATCAACTCAGTTTTACTTTGAGTAGGTGTTCTTGCATATACATACCGTGTTCAGATTTTTTATGCTGCCTCCTGCTACATAACAGAGTATGTGGCCACAAAACTTATCCAGGCTTGCACATAGCTGTGTCACAGGTCCTCTCAAAAAACCTATCTGGTGCATGGTTCCTTTGCAACCGAATAGTAACTGAGGGAAGGAAAAAGCACAATCACAACACTTTTTTTTTTTTTTCCCCTTGTTACAGGAGTATTTTATGCATGAAATTGTTGCTAATAGCCTAGCCTCCTAACTCAGTACTCAAACATTGCTAAAGGAGGTTGCCCTCCCAGTACCCCTTGCAACACCTTCCGTGCATCATGTATCCTTCCTTCTTCTTGTAACGGTCATCCATCCTGGAAGAAACCATCCTCCATTTCTAGTGAAATTACCTCAGTGCTCACTCATTTCTGAAATCCCAGAGATTGTATAGCTGCTATTGCAGCTCTGGTTTAGTTCCTCCTGCATGAGGCCAGCAAAATATTAGTTAAGTACAAGAGTCCTATGATGAGAGAGTTTCACAAGTCTCCTGCTTGACTGGGACCTGCTGCTACAAGCCCTGTATCTCCAGTACTTTCCTCACAGAGTCTGGGAACATATTTTTCAAAAGCACTCAATTCATCCCAAGCTCAGCATCAGCATGTCATCTGTTCAGGAACACTTCACCCCAGATTGGATGAACACTGTGAAGTTAAATCAAGCACTGGGACCCTTATAAGGAAAAATGACATACCCACATCAGCGGTTCAGGAAGATTTACTAACGTAATCAGAGGGCTTGTAGCATATGAACATGAGGCTACTGGGCCCAGAGCACAGAATATTTTCACCTTTTTAGCCAGCTCAGGGTACGTAGAAAATGCTATGAAGCCTGCAAATACATAAGAGACAGCCTGAGTTAGTGAAAACATCTTCCACAGACAAGTTAAACAAATAAACAGTAGGCAGCAAATGAGAAATTAGACTAGCTCTGCAGCTCATTGTCTGTTCATGTTTGTCTGTGCTTCATGTTTTACCTAAGGCAAACGTTGAAGCTAAGTCGTGAAACTGATTTTATTTGGAAGGCAAAGTTCATTCTGAGTTTTAGAGCATGTCTGGATATTGCATTTATCAGAACAGTTTTTGTAGGCAACATGTCAATGAGGTTTTTGTGATAAAATCAATTCCCCCTAAAGTTCAAAAAACTCTCATGAAAAATGAGTTTTTCATATTATAGTCTCTAAAGGTCTATGTATGTTCATGTTTCCATTAAACTGCAGAATAATTAGCTGAATTCTGGGAGCTTTGAATCTTTTCAACTGATTGCATCAAAGGCAGCTGAAGAAGTCCTAGATCGTTACTTTGTTTTGCCATGAGGGTCTTTAAGTAATTTCATGAGAAGAAAAGAAAGAAAAGGTCTGGAACTGTGACAATATATGATTTTCCCACATCTCCTTTTTTTTTTTCTGGGTCATTTCACATTAATGAACTGGCAGTTGCTCATTTTCTAGTCAACGTCCATTCACGGCTCTTACACTTAAACTGTAAACATCAGGAACTCTACACTTATTCTAAAAGAAAGTTAGTTGCATTCAGAGGCCATGCAGTGAGTTAATGCTAAAGGCTGGCACTAAGAGAAAATAAGTTATTGTCACTTTTTTCCTAATGTTCAGTCTCTGACAATATCATTTTAAACATTAATATTGCCAGTTAAAGCGACTCATAAACTATGCTTTAAATTTTAACATTGCCATTAAGTCACATGACTTGGTAATGTTAAGGGTTTTTTTCCTTGTCTTGTTATTTGAAATCTTGTATTATATTTGTTGTTTTATCTTTTTAGCTTTTCCTTCCTGTTCACAAAGGAATTAACTGAATATTTTAATACAAAAGAGGAACTTAAAAATTCCTGTTGCTAAGAATTTAAGAAAAATACCTGAAGTACAGAGTAAATAACTACTCTCATGTCTCTAATTATATGAAAAGTTGAACTGTATTTGGATCTGTTATTAGGTTTCTTTGCTTATTAAGAGTAGTCAAAGCTTGGTTTAGAAAAGTTCTGCATATTTTCCAAATCTCAACTCAGAAGCCACTTCTATGTTTGCTAGTTCTCTATAAACAAGAAAAACAACTGAAATAATAGGGAGACCCACCTCCTGATCAGATATCAACATGTGTGATTGTGAGCTGTGAGTGTCCTAACATTACCTGATGTTGCGCCTTCAGAGTGCCCAACATAATATACATCCTTCTGTCCAGTTTTATTCATGATGAAGTACAGCTCTGCTGGAATATCATATTTACCCATTTCATCGAAGCTACAGAGGAGAAACACAGAATGTTAGCTGGCAATTTAGCTATCACAGTGTGAATTGCTGAGTATTCCATTTTGTTTTCCAGTCTGAAATCCCTTCCCCAGCCAATGCTCTCAACTCTGTGTAGTAGTGAGCATCCTTCTTCACCTGATTCTTTACTCTCCTTGGTTGGTGTATACTCTGTTCTGGTGTTGGTTTGGGTAAAAACCCTCAGGCTGAAGCTATCTAGTCCCCTCAGAGTTTTTGTCTGAGTAATTTTCCCTCTACAGAGTACCTGAACCGCCAGAACGCTTTCTGGCTGGGATTAAGGGTCTTGTGTTTTAAAGACCAAGTATTGCCTCGGCTGTTTCCCATCCAGACGTCATAGCCAGCATCTGCGAGGAGGAAGCCCAAGCTGTTGTTGGGCAGGTTAGAAATCCAGTGTGTAGCATCTCCTAGAAGAGCATGTTGTAGGAAGACTACAGGCTTTTGCCCTGGAAAAGAAAAAATATCTTATATTGGAGCAGTCGTTAATGTGTATTTAAGATTGGGGTGCAGAGTTTAGCTTGTAAGAGGGTTTAAATCTGTCCTTCTTCAAGAAGCTCCCAGGACAACTATGCATAGATAATGGTCGGAGAAACCTGAGAGGTTTGTTCCATGTAAGCAGGAAACATTTAATGACATTTCATAACAATTTCATGACAAGACTGGCAAATAAAGGAATTTTATGAGGAGGCCTGTCCCCAGCTCCTTTTGTACTGGAAAGCAAACTTACAGGTGCCTATATTGAAACCATCTATCAACAGCTGAAAACTGCTGAAGGCATATGTGTATTAAATACAAACATTAATTTTTGATATTTGTAAATATATTTTGTAAATATAAACATTGTATAAAGATAAGGCAGCGTATCTACCCTTACATCTATTTAGTAGCCAGCTAAGCAGGGCTCCTGATCTAACTTTGGTTAACCTTACTCTGACAATAAGGCTGGTCCAGATGATCTCTGAAGGAGGAGATCCAAATAGGAATAGGCATTCAGAATGAATTATTCTATAGTTCTAATAAGGAGTAATAAACAAAATAACATCATTGGGGCACCTCAAATTCCAGATGGAAATTCTTTCTCCATTCAGAAAACATGATGAAAAAAATGAAACACATTTGCTTTTCACTGATGACCTTATCAACTTGCTTAAGAATATCTCTGTCCTTCAAAGGCTGGGAACTAATATTCATATGCCCAACCTGAGAGACTTTGTTGTCAGACTTCTATTTTAAATGTATATTACTTATAATGCTAATGCAAAACTTTCCAAAAATCCAGTTTAAAACATCCTCCCCAGCCCACATGAAAGAACAAACCTGTGATATTGCAAAATTATTAGAAAAGTCTCAAATAGGAACAGAGACACTGAATGCATGGATTCCAGATGGATCCAGAATTCAGGCCAGATTCCTTACTAGGTGGTCTTGCTGAGACTGAAAGGTGTGGAACATGTCATGGCATGTGCAAAGGAGAAAGATGGCGGACCCATAGAAGGGTTGACCCACAGGCTTTCTCCTATTTTTTTTTTCTCCTTGCATCCTGTGGCTGTTTCATACCTGTATTTTGGCTGTTCCTCCCAGCAGAAATTCTGAAAACACTAAGAATGTACCCATCCTCTGTAGTAACTTCATATTCCTCACTGGGGTATCCATGATATCTGATAATTTCACTCTGTGAGAAGCCAAAGGAGAGTTTGTGAACATGCAGGCTGTCCTATTTTGGAGGGTAACCAAGCTGAGCAGTGGGTATGTGGGATGTTCTGAGACATCAGTGGAAGGCCACTGGCCACAGGGACCATGGCTGAGAATGATTATTACAGGTCTTGTAAAAAGATGCACCAAAGTCTTCTTCAGTCCTGCTTAAGTGGTAGTTGTCTGGTATTTGACAGCACATTATGGGATGAAACAGGACTCTACTGAGTGACCAACCTTTTGGGAGATAGTTTGTCCTGTTTTGCAAGGCTGATAGAGATCATATCTTTCTATAAATTAAATACATAGGAGTGTTGATATAAGACAATGCCAAAAGCTGTGGGTTTTGGTCCATAATCAGTTCTTCCTTGCTGAAGTGTAGTTAGGCAAGCCAAGCAGGCAAGACAAACAAGGGTGGAGCTCTTGTCACTAAGGAACTCGTAAGACCACCTACACCTAATTTTGCATGTACTGTGAGGAAATTTTTGGTGATTCAGAGCAATGGGTCTTGGATTACTTTGTGTAATGAGAATCTGCTGCTTGAAGGGAGAAGTCATCCTCCCCTGCCACTATATTGAGGAAAGAAGTTGTTACAGAAAGGGAGGGCTTTGCTTACTTTGAGACTAGAAACCAGCCTTTGCCTCCACAGCAAAGGAATTCTTCTCTGGCAGCTTGGACTGTTTAGATGCTTCTTCTATCTGGTACTCCCTGTCATAGTGCTGGAGGATCTTTGTCCTCTTGCCAGGTTCATACCTTCCCTTCTTTGTACGGCAGCCAGAAATACCAATGTGTGTTGAGAAAGGTGACTGCAAAAAGGTGTCACGAGGCATCGCCCAGCCTTGTGTTCACCGTTTTTCTGTTGGGGTTCACCCTAAATATAGGCAATGAAATTCTGTTGTACAGTTGGTATGGAGTGGAGAGTGTAGTCTGGCTTTGGTCACAGTCCAAGGCTTAGTCCTGTTGCTGGAGCCACAGTACAGTAGCCTGGATCTCCAGTGCCCTTCTGGGGAGTTACCTGTCCCTGGAGGCAAACGTAGTAGCCAGCACCCTCCATTGCAGTATTATGTGTCTGTCCTCATGCCATATGCAAGAGTTGTATCTGTCCCTGGCACATTCATAGCCAACCCTCATTGCAGCGGTGACTAATGCAGTGGTTTTGGAAAAGGCAGGTTGGGAAAACAAGAAATGCAGAAGGAATGCTTTTTAGCCTCCTCACTGGGACTGTTAGTGATGGGGTATTGGGAGAGACACTTGAGAAAGAAAGAGAGAGAAAATGACCCTACTTACAACATTCATAAGGGATTCAGGGTTACGAGTCTTCCTGAACTGGCTTTCATCTGAGTTCAGAGTGGAGGGTGTTGTGAATCCTGCTGAAAAGGCAATTGCTTGAGAGCAGAGCAGTGTGAGGAGGCACCACATCTTGGGGCTGAATGAAAGAGCACATGCAGGTTTTTTTGCATTAGGAAAGGCATGGAATTCCACAGGAAGACACAACTGGGGAGTTGAAGAAGGCTCCCCAGGGGGCTCCCAGAATAAGTACCTCTGTGAGGAAGCACTCTGCAGCTCACCCTATTCAACAGGCAGGGCTGCAGAACAGGTGAGGAAAACACTTCGACATACCACACGTGAACACACCTGAACACTCTGCAGGTGACAAGGGAGCTGCGGTTGGCAGACAACGCCAGGTGTTGGCATGAATCTAACAGAAACCTGACAAAGAAGCATGAGTACTTGAGATGACCATCACCCAGATTGTCTGCCTTTATCTGCCTCCTCTTCTCTGCCAGCAGGAGAAGTGAAAGGAGAAGAAAACACTGTTTGTTTCCTGTCTCACCAGGAATGAGATGAGAGAGGTCTCTCTCTACCTGCCCTCTCCTCCTTTGGGTTCAAATGCTATTCTTGGTGCTGGTCAGTGGTATGCTGGGGTGAGGGACAGTCAATGAGGCTTGTGAAAGGTGCAGAGGCAGTTATTCAGGGACTCTGGGAGGAGATGTAATGGGCTTAGGGCAGTATGCTTGCACCAGGTCAGTACTAGCTCGTGCTTTCACTGTGGGGTGATGTGCCCCAGACCAGGTTCAAGTTCTGTTTGAAACTAGTTCCTCTGATAACATGAAGTGAACAACGTCACCATGTGTGGCTCCCCAGAAGCCCCATAAGTCAGTTCCCTGTCAGCCTTGCCTTTCAGACTGAAACTGAGTCATCTAGCTCTCCATTTACCAGCCCCTGAGACTTCTTCACTAGCCCCTTGTTGCCTGCTTTTTCCAATAACCCTCTCTGTTATCCCCAGAAATGGCATTTTCCTGCTGCTACTTCTGAGTCCAATGGTTTTGTCTCAAAATTAATGGCTACCACCAGCCAAGAAACCATGGAATGGTTTGGTTTTAGAGCAGAGAACAATGGAGCCTGAGACTGACTTCATGTTGCCAAGGGTCTACCTCCCATATTTCTTAGAAATGGCAGTCCATATTGCAAATCTTGTATTGGTCATGGGAAAGTGAGACCTTGCCCTTTCCTGGGTTGACTGATGGTACCAGATTAGCTTCTCTGAATGCAGAGTGCAGTCTATCCAGCACCAGGTTATGCTGACTTCACCTACAGTATACATGCTTCCAGGTTTCAGTCTTCATTTTCCAGAACCCAGTCAATGAATTCAGGAACACTTTCTTTGCTTTCAACACACAAATGTTGACTTAGATGCTCCCTAGAAAATGGAAGAGAAGGTTCTGCATCCCAGAAAGTTACTGGGTGTGGGACTGTCAGTTGAAATTTCTTGAAGAAGAAGAAAAGCGGTCCTTGCCTACAAGAGAGCTGCAAGTAAGTAGGGTAGGATTTTTCTATCCAATCTGAAGAACTGTACAAAAACGATTCATACATGAAGTTCAGGACTGTGCTTACACATTCTAGAAAAGCCATTATATATCTAATAGTTGTATGCTGTGCCTGCATCAGTGAGGAGAGAATGAGGGCTGCAAAGAGAAAAGTAGCGGCCATTCTGCATGTGGATAAAGACCGTAAAGATCAGACATGCTACATAAATGTTCAGCAAGAGAATCCATGGGACAAAAGAGTCAGGGACAAAAAGGTCAGGCAATGCAATGTAAGTCTCCAGCTCATGGAGGCGTCTAGTAAAATTGCGTTACTAGTAATGACTGGGGACATTACTCCTTTTGTAAGCTTGGTTTCCTCAGAAGAAGAGGGCATACTTCTATGACTGCAGTGTGTTTATGTTAGTTCACCTTTCTGCACATCCTGTAATTAACTCTGGATGTCATTTGTAAATATCTGCATGTTCAGCACTGAGATACAAGCTCGTAAGGGAATGGATTCACAGGATCTTCTGAGGACTGTTTGCTGAAGGAGACTATTCAATGGAGTTAGTGTGTTGCTGGGGGAAAGGCAGGCCAAAGACAGCTGTTGTATGTTCTGAAACTAGTTTAACAACTAGCAAAAGTGAACTAGACAACTAGTCAGTGCCCATGTAGCTTGAAAGTAGTCACAGCATAGCTGGGCATTGGTGCTTGTGAGAGAATGTCGTAGGAGACCTGCATTTACTAAAGTTTGCATTAGGAAATTAAGCAGACTAAGTAAACAAGTTTTTCTGAAACCAGGCATTGCTAGGTCCATTAGACATGGAGAATCCAATGTTTAAAGAAGAACAGAGGTTTTCATGCACCCACATGTTTCTGGAGTCTGCTTCTAGCATAAGACATCTGCTGTGAGGAGACATGCTGTTCTATGACATGTATTCTGACTTGGAAATGGAGTTACAAATCAAGATAAAATACGAAAGTATTCTCTGGTAAGTAATGGGGAAGATGAGCAGGATTTGTGGGAGTTAGGGAGGGGTAACCAAGATATTTTTGCACTCTTTAAGTCTCTTTATAGGAAAAGGAATTTCAAAATTTTCTGGTATTTAACCAGAAATTTAGCCTTTAAATTTGACTGAACAAATTTAAAAGAGTCAAACCTCATGAGTCATTGAAGAGTTCGAATGAACCAGTGTTTGGAAACACCCAGAACTTTAAATTTGGCATTAAAACACACTTCATTCAATTCCCTTTGTATATTAAATCCCTGTTAATTTCTGTTAAAACAAGAAGTCTGACAACTACATAGACAGCCAAACACTCTTTTTAGCTTTCTGTTGTTTTACTCCATTCTAATGGCAGTAAATTATGCTTCCCCCTCCCTCCAAAGGGAATCTTATTTGGGAAGAAAAAGTTCTGCTAATGTCTCAGCTTGTTTTCAAATCACTTTCAAAACTAGTCAATGCAGTGCAGAGGCTAAACTATTCCTCTTCTTAAGGCAAACTTTTCTCCGTACCCTTTAATATCACCTGGCTTAGGTGGCATGGCTCATGGACTTCCAGTTATTTGCCTTTTAAACCAGATATAGTGGGTTAAACAATATCAGTCTTGGCAGACCACTGCTCCCTACGGTTCAGGAATAAAGACAATTAGGAGATGTGAGCAACATTTTCTCTAGTGAGATGGATGGGCATGTTAAACTGTCATTAAAGAATACTTAGAAGTTAAAAAGGTCAGAGAGAGAAATGCCCTTGAAAGTTCTTTAGGTATTTTTAATGAAACAAAGATAGAAACCCTCCAGAAATTTATCTATATCTCTTTGTTCTTTAAGCAGTCTAAATTTATTTCATGTAAGTTGTAAGGCATGCACACACAAACCAGAGAAGCAACTGTGACTGAATGTATACGAGAATGTGCTGCTTTGCCTTACTCACTTACAAAACATGTATGTGCATTACACTGCAATAGCAGGAGGTCCAGTTTACACACACTGTTGCAACACTGCGACTTTCATTCCCTTGTTCTCAGCCTGAAGAAAACAAGCTGAGGGAAATGAAATAGTTGCTCTTGTTCTTCCTTTTGTGCAGGTTAAACTTTGTCTTCTATCATGAGCCAACAAGCAGTTCTGTGTATACCGACAGGCATACAGATCAGAGAGGCAAAAAACTGTCTGTTCTTACAAGCAACTGCATAAAACCAAGACTGAATGTCTTTATGGAGACAGGCAACAGAGAAAAACGACATATAAAGACGTATGCACAAGCAACTTACCTCTGTATTGACTGCCTTGCTTGTGTCCTCTGCCTCAGTTCCTAGTCTGTCTCCACTAACAGACTGATTCACTGGCAGAAACCTGCGCTGATAAAAGGAAGCCAGAACACAATGAGCACTTCAGGGTAGCAGCTGTCAGTGTCATGAGTTGGCAGCATGTATTGTTGAGCGTGTTTAAATGCTGCTTTGGCAATGTTTCAGAAATGGGGAAATCTTTGAGATGAAAAAGATCTTCTGGTGAAATTCACAAACCCAAAATGAGCTGCGGAGCAGGAAAGTTTAAGAAGTACCTATAAATCAGTAATTAGGATGTTTAGCTTGTACCTGGGTGTTCCAGTTCCCTGAGGCTGTGACAGACCTTGCCCTGTACTGTCATCCAGCTGAGGGGCTGTTCCAGATGTAATCTTTTCAGGACGAAGAGGAGGAAGTGTCCAGCTTCTTTCAACATGCACTTTCAAGAGCACTATCTCTGCTATTGCTTTTCATTTGCTTTATGTTAAGTTTAACATTACAGACTATCTTGTTTTCCAGTGAGCAGCACAACTCATGAAACCCATCTATCTGCATTAGTTGCTCAGAGTTGACATGGCTTCTGTAAGGACACTCTGGTGCTAAAGACTTGAAAACATCATACAACTTTTCTCTCTGAGGGAGCAAACATGGGTTCTTGCTTCTCCCAAGCCATTTTCATCAACTCTGAAAAGACAGTATCACTGGAGATCTTTGCCTAACTGCTGAATTACTTATAGACAGCCTGGGGGCTCAGTCTTCACTGAAATTGGCTTAATAACCATGGGCAGAAGGACACCTTCTGTGTCCTTAGGCAGCTACAAAATAGGATCCTCCTATGTGAGGAACAGCCTTTTTAGCCAATTAATTGATAATTGTCTTCAGAAGATCTTGTGTTTCATTATGGACTGATGAGCATTTAGAAGAACACCAGATGAAAAGATGTGTTCTTGGAAGCAGCACTGCAAATAATATGATGCTATTGGGTGGTGGGGGAAGGAAAGGAGTGAAATAAGAACAGGATACCAGTGAAGCCACAGTAACATTTCTGTTTTACATATAAAGTAGACAACATTTTTTGTGAGGGTGAAAGGGTAGTTTGGTAATTTCTCAGTGAAAAGGAATGCAACTCATCTGCTTTGATGTCTTTAAGTGACAAACAATAAATTAATCACCTTGAAGGGCTTCTGCAACATGGTGTCTAGTCCCTCCTCATGTTCCCAGGTGGGATCAGCAGTCCCCATGATTTTTCCAAAGCTCCTTGCCTAAGCATGATTCTTACTGATTTTCCAGAAAATTGAACACCTTGCCTCCCTTATGGTCTCCAAGGTTGCAAAATAGCTGAATGGCTGAAATCTCTTTCTTGGGTGAATTTAGGGGTTACTCTGGCTTCTTTTAGATATATTGCTGTTTCATTTCCCATTTTAAGTGTTGAAAACTCATAAAGCAGGTCTTAAGTCCTCACTTGTTTCTTCTACAAGCAATGAGTTAGTTGAAGGGCTGACTTTCTGGAGGGTATTTGTCCCCAGGAATTTGTATCGGATGTAAAGAATGCTCTTGTGTGGAGGGGAGCTGTTTTGTTTGGTTCAAACTCTACTTATATTCATGGAGAACAAAGCAATGGGACAGGCTTCAGCAGTGGGCTCAGGAAATGAAACAGACCTGTTGTTTGTCTTGGAAGGGAAAGGAACAGAAGTGATACCAGGCATGGTTAATTTGTTCAGCTAATGAACCACATCACAGAGTGAGACATTGACCCTTTGGTTATAGAGTATAACCAGTGAACTGTCTTAGTGTAACAGCTGTACCTGCCTGGTTAACATCCCAGATTAGTCCATGTTAACATTTGATTCAAATGGAGAATGATGGTATCACTCTGAAAGGAAACCCTTAAATGCACTGTGTTTCTTTTCATAGTGAAGCTAATGACATTTTATTGTGGAGGGACAGTGACCCATGATGGTGTAACATAATAACTGTGGAGGGTATCCTTCAAGGCAGAGTCTTTGTGCTATAAGAACCCATTTGAAACAAGATTGGTAGACCCTGAGTTACCCAGGAAATTAAATAGGATGACAATTTCTTCAGCACTGTTTTCAAAGCAGCCCTTCCCACTAATGGGCAAAGGGCTCTAATTACACATGGGATGGAGATAATGGATTCTTTCTAGCTGTGGTTGAGTACTTTTCATTTTAGTGTTTAAAACCCAAAGAGGCTTCTCATAGTCATGATAAGGGTTAGAACAGCTCAGCTCTTTGGCAGCCAGTATCTTCCATGTGAAATGGCAAGAGATGGGAGGTTCCTGATGGGTTCAGACTGTAACTTTGAACCAAAGTGTCCCATTGAAGTGCTGTCATTGCCAAGATGAAACCAGCACCTTTCTCCCACCCTGGAGAGCTCATGTACACAGATCCTGAAGCTGTTGTCAGCAAAGATTGAATTTGCCAAGATTTTTCTGTGTTGGAGGAAGGGACAGATATTGAACCCAAGTTTCCTATCTTCCAAGTGCATGCTTGAACCATGAGACTGACTACTGTTTTCTGCTGCATCTACCCTCCCTGTCTCCCTCACTCTCTCATGAAAAAAGTGAGCAGCCTTGTTTCAAATGAAGACAAACCATCATCTTGTCAGGAGTGAGTTTTTTGTGTGAACTCAGTTTTTACTTTCTGTTCACTGTCTCATCTAATAATAAAATTAATCAATACCATAAGTGCTAGAATTAGTCTCTACTTACTTTGCAATAACTGCAAGCCCCATAAACTAAGAAACAATAAAAAAAAAAAAAAATGGAAAACACCTTGAAATCTCTGGTGTTCACGTATCCAGAGAAAGCCAGTGCTTTCACTACTGTTGGGGTTTAAAGAAGAAAGCAGGCTGCAAAAAAACCCTTTCTTCTGTTAGCAAAGTACAGTTATTGCAGAATGAGGATGTGCCAATTAGAAAGTGATTACTGATCCACAAGGTTGCCAGAATATATGAAGTTCATCTTTAGGATGCAGAAGGCATTGCAGTGAAATGTACTGAGAAATTAGCATCAGGAGGAACCCTTTCTCTGACTCCAACAGAAACCATCAGATGCAAAGTTTTGTGTATACCCAGTGAAAGCAAGTGTCTTTGCATGAATCAGGTATGGCTACTGGTTGTGGGTTAAGGATTCTTCTGCATCAGATCAATAACTTCATTGTACACATGCAAAGGTGCATCCAATCCCCAGATGAAATCCAGGTGTGCCCATCCAGGAATCTTTTTGTGGTAGATGAGCCTTTTAATTTGAGACAGTAAAATGGCTGCATCCTTGGGATCTGCAAGCAAGTCTTGCCCCCCAGTCCATACTGCTGTTGGTACAGTCATCTCTTCTACATTGTAGAGAGGAGGAGTAGCCTGAAAAACACGAAGAAGTACAGAAATGGATGTCTAGGAAAGCACAGCAAACTTTAGACATGCATTTGAGGTTTCCTTTTACCAGTGTTCAAAGTAAAGATGCCTAAACTAAACAGGAAGAAGTTCCCTTGCTTGTCTTTTCTGTCTGCTTGCAGGGATGGCCCAGCTGATAACACAGACAAAGGAAAAATGCCTCCTGAGTTGACAGTGTTACTGTTGGTCTTTGCTCTCTCAGTTAGGAATTCACAGGACAGGAAACTGCAACAAAAACAGAAAATGTCAGGATGCCTCTGTAAACCCTCATCTTGGTCCTTTTGAAGCACTGGTCAGCCCTAGAAGACTTACATGGTCTAGATAGAAAACACATGTGACAAGGATGAAAAGGAGTCTGGAATGACAAATAGTTTAGTACTCCTTCGTTTGGAAAATAGAGGCCAGAGCAGGTTCAATTGACAGCATTATACAATCACAAATGGTATTGAAAAAGAGCACAAGAAGGAGTCACCCTATTACTTCTCATAAACAAAACTTAGAAAGCATCCAGTGACTTTCCAGGGGCAAACAAATTCAAGACAAACCAAAGGAAGTTGTGTTTCATGCAAGCTATCATTAAAACGTGTAACTCATAAGGACAGGCTGTTGTGGAGACCTAAAGTGTAGGACAGTCAAAGGACAGGATTAGACTCTTGAACTGAGGACAAATTCCTTATGCCTCTGGCTTCCAGAACGCAGGGTAGCTGTTAGCTCTCCAGTTGCCCTCTTCCTAATATTGTTCTCCTAAGCACTTATACATTGGCAACTGCTTTGACCATGCTAGTAAGCAAGACGCCTCTTTAGTCTTACCAAATAGATGCACTTTTCTTTTTCAAATTCATTTTTCTATCTTTCCTGCCCTTATTTCTTTTTATTCATATTGATCATTTTTAGTTTAAATGTTTCTGTCTCCCCTCACCCCCCTTTTTATTTTTTATTTTTTTTTAATTGCTTTTGCCATTAGTGCTTGCATGCTTTCTCTGTTGGATTATAAACGGGAAAGTAGTGATACTTCCATCTACATGTATTCTGAAAATGTGTCTCCTACCACATCCTTGCTCTCTTCCTGTGTGCTTCTGTGTTGTCTGAGTGTTACGATATTATTTCACCAAAATATACCTGTTGGTATTTTTCCATGTTCTTCTTTGAACTGCCCCAGTCATAAGCTTGGAAATTCCCTGAATGGGCTTCCTAAGAGGAGGAACAAGAGAAGGATAGTTACAAAGCCATCATCTAAGAAGTTTGTGGGTTCTTTCCCTGCTGAAGAAGTTCTAAGAGCTCTGAAAAAGACAACATTAACTAAAAGTATCAATCAGTGAAAAGGAGTCAAGTGTTTTTGTTACAACCAAAACTACCATGGTTCCTGCCCAGAAAGACCCAGGGATGCCTTTGCAGGCAATTTGTTCTGGTACTTCGCTACTGTTGCTGTGTCATCTTCTGACAGCCATGTTGCCATCACTCAGCTTTGTGAGGGGCTCCTTCTTATGTTTTTTCTTGCCTCTCTGATTTGAATAAAGAAGTCACCATTTCTAGTTCTTTCCTTATGTTCCTTGGCTTTGCCTACAGCGTGGGTTGTTACTACTGTGAGAGACACCATCAATGGGATCTGAACATTGAAGTCAAACTGTTAACTCCTTTAATATTAAGAACAGCAATGACAATGAAGGCTTAGGAGTATTAGTCCTGCATGTTTGTGCTTGCTAGTTTGTGGCTAGATGCTGAATTAAACCCGAGTCAATTTTCAGAGCTCCCCCCATTACACTTTTGCAACTCTTTTTCTTTACAGGCCTAGGATGGTCACAAAAGCAACTTAATCAAATCTAAGATTTTATGTAAATTCACAGCCAAAAGTATTCTTTGATTTTAAGTAAATGCCTGTGCAGGTGTTACCCAAACTTATTTGTGATGTGTTAAAAAGTGCATTAACATGCTTGCAAGCTCACTGCGCTTGCAGCTGCTTCCTGCTTTGCTCCAGAGCCTGCAGTACTGCTGGGAAACCTGTCCTGCATGCAGCAGCTTCTGTGACTGAGCCCTGACTTTATGAATCATGAAAGTGTGAAACCAAAGCCTGAAAGGCAGCTTTCCTCAGCACTGCTGCCGAGGATGTACTGTCAAAGTACCTTGTAAGTAAAGCATATGAGTGTACTAAATAAAGAGTATACTATTTATAGTAATATTGCTGCTCAGACATTGAGAGCTTTGGAAACAAGTGATGAAAATACAAGGGCTTTTACCAGTAAAATCTAGTATTTTACAAAACAGCCTATGTCTTGCTCATTTCTTGACTCCACATTGGAAACATACTAATTGCTTAAGGTAAAGTGTACAGAACTGTGGACATCATTTATAAAAGGTACTAGATACACAGGAGGAAGAAAGATTTATATATCTGTATACACAGCTGCCAGCATACCTGTTTTTACAGAAATACCATGTTTCATTGTTGGCTTCAAATGTCCCTGTACCACATAGGGTACTTCTATCCTGCTGGCAAAGGACCAATGAAAAATAGTGGTTTGAATTAAGACTTGAACAAGTTGCATGTATTTCCAAGAAGTTAGCAATGGATTCATGGCAGGATATCAGCTTATACCCATTCAATACCATTCAGACAGAAGTAAGTATCTATTTTGATTTCCAGAAGTTTCTTAGTACCTGACTCCAGTGGACTATGTTCTGCACAGAAGTTCCAGCAGTGGTTTGTGCAATATACACATTGACTCGATTCTGAAAGAAAATATTCAGTGAGTATTCTCTTCCTCCCTTCTGTTCAGATGTAGAACAAAATATCTGCCACAGCAGAGTCGTGTAACAATAGAATCAACAGAAATTGGAGTGGTATGGTCATCAACTCCCTCAGTTACTCCAGACATGGCAATGTCTCAGGTTTGGAGGACCACTGAAACAACAACCCTCAACCAGAACATTTTCTTAGATGACTGAGAATCTAAAAGAAACTACAGATAGAAAGGATAGGATAGCAAGTCAGCAACTTAGATCTCACACTAGGTGGGCTCTTTTTTGTCAGGAGTCTATAACACATCTTGGGTGAGAGAGGATCGCTGTTGGGCAGAGCAGCAAAAGGAACTACAACCACCTGAGGACTGCATGACTACTTGAAATAAAACACACCCTAGTTCTGCAGGAGTTTCTTAAGAAGTTGCTATGTAATCCTTCCTCAGTGAACGTGCTTGGAGGCGTTTCTGGAAAAGGCTGGTGCAAAAGTTTGATGCCAGCTGGTCTGACCTATGGCTGTACATAGCACAGTGTCCAAGTATGTCTTAGTCCCCAGTGGCTGCCAACTCTCTGTCAGGTACCCCCAGGTATCCTGTGCCTCTGAGCACATCACTGGTGGTGCAAGGTTTGGAGGAAGAAGGCAAGGGGGTGTGCTCCTTTCTCTGTAGCTCCTGAAAGCATGAAGCAAGTAGGGGTTTTATTCCTCTTCTCATGGTGTGCCAGCATACTGAAGATCTCTGGTGAGACTGGTAGTCACAGTGTGAATCAAGAGACAGTGCCCTAGGTGAGGTCTGGCAAAAGGCAGACTGCAGAGTTCTGGGGGGACTTTGAGCAGTTGTTGATTGTAGGGATGATGCCAAGTGCTCTTTTAAGGAGTGAGGCAGTGGCTTTCTGCCAGTGATGGGGAAACCAGCAGATATTGCTGTGCAGTAGTGGGGACTGTTCCCTGCAATGTGTTGCTGACTAATAGAAATTCAGGATTCACTTCACACCATAGAAGGTAAGTTTTGGGAGCAGAAGCTTAAACCCTCAGTAGAGCTGTAGAAGAATTATACATACCACGTCAATGTTTTTCAGGTTACAGCCACCCAGACCAAAGAAGACACTTCTACAAAGTCTGGCAAAAGCAGGATTGCTGCAGACAGGAACTATTAGCCTTCTCAGACACTCAGTCTGAGGAAGGAATTCTCTTTTGCCAAACAAACCCTGTGAAATAAAAAGGTAACATTCATTTAAGAATGTACACTTGTATATTGTGCTGTTGTTTTTAAAAGGTGTTTGTGTCCTGTTCCTCTTCTCTAGCACTTTCAGCGGTTCTCACTTGCT